TGACTCACTGAGCAAATTCAAATTGTGCTCTAGCGAGAACTCTGGATTTCCAGGGTACACCTCGACTAGTGAGTTCACTACATTCTGCAATCACCCTTAGTTTTTTCAGTATTAGCTTTTTCCGTACACCCTCTGAATTCATGCTTCTCTCTTTCACCAAACTAAGACTTTCCTTGTTAACCCAGGCAATTCTCTGCCTGTTTTATCCATAAACATTTCTTAATAAATAATAAAAATAATACATTTACATGGCATTTACTATTTAGCAAAATACCTATTCATATCAATATCTATGTCATGACATGAGATCACATAAACCATAACCTGTTGTTGGTTCCGCTGATAAAAGGCCAGAACAGAAAGGTGGTTTTGGTGATATACAGATGCACAGAGGTTTTTGTACATGCTCATTAAAACACACCATATAATTTTTGTGTCAACATACAGTAGCTTCTTTACAATCTGTTTGCCATGTTTATCAGTTAAAGCTGGACTTACGTGGCTACTTATTACACAGGGTTACAACAGATGTGGCTGTCCACTTATTTACCTTCACCTGCAACCTGGATTAGTCAACCTGGATTAGTCTTTACCCACAGCAGGTGCACAGTAAGACAGATGACCACTTTCACACTCTGCCTGAAATTCAACAACTTTGTGTTATGTTTTCACCACATTTTGTTCTTACAGTCATTGTTTTTACAGTTTAATCTATGCAGTTCTCCAGTTACCACCGTCTAACATTTAACTTGATTTCAACATATTTTAGTTTGTTGTGTTGGACAGTGTTTCATGGCAGAGGAAATTGGTCAGTCTGTTGTTTATCTATTTACTTCCTTTTTTCCTAAGACTTGTTTGACTGTACTGTATGTTATTTCTGTGTTTCCACGGCTCCCTTTACATGTTCACCCCACAAGGTATCAACATCAGGACCTGTATTTATCACAAGATCCAGTGACATTTGTCCAGTAAGTTATTTATGTTCATCCTAAATCTGACTTTAAGGAGAACGACGACTCCCTAGAGAGAGTTAGGTATAGGTACTGATGCTGTTTTTACTGATTGTTCATAACACCTGCTTGGCTACAAAGTGTTTTGTGAAAGCTGTAGTTTTGAGCAACGTAAAATTGAAGCAGCTTGTTTAATTTGTTTTCTTCATATGTGACCAGCCAAATAACTTGTGACTAAAAGACATTGAGTCTCTTTTTCATATACCAGGGTATATGTTTATGATGGTATTTATGTACAAAATAAAAGGTTACAGCGGCTGGTGATAGAAGTCATTGTAGCATATATGTCATTGTCTGACCTGCGGTGCTGTTTGTCCTGCTGGGTTTGAATATTTCTGGCCCACAGAATAAGGAATAGATATAGCGTCCTATAGACAAGAAATAAGCATTTGACTTTCATAGACTCTTGGATGAGGACTAGGCTTGTCACAATACCAGGGCTCATAATTACAGTGCGGACAGAACATGCACGGGCTCGGGTTGGATTTTTTTTGGGCCCGATGTAAGCTCTAGCACTTGTAGAAGCCATTGTTTCTAGCAAAGACGATGGAGAACAGGCGTTCTTCTTCCACACTCAATTGACAAGGCCCACTGAGGGCAAAGTTGTATCCGGTACTTACGGTACCGAAAAAATAAACAGGTACTGACGTATTTTTTGCGTGTTGGCATCGACTTGGTACCGAAGTATCGGTTCTCATGACAACCCTAATGAGGACCCAGTGACACTCTTTGCTGCAGCAGATACCAACACACATGGTAATAGGTTACACTAACAGGGGTCTACAGAGGTGCAGAGTCATTGGCATATATTCCAATTTAGGCAACATCCCCAACTTCAGTGGAGACGTGAAGTGCACATCACTTTCTGATGGGGCCAGAATGTCCATTAAGTGTTGGAGAATGGGGAGGATGGATGAGCTGGTCGCATCACCTGACAGCTCATGTTTAAAGCTGCTCGCTGGTTTCAGTCCGTCTGTTTTAAAGACATCAAGGTCTTGCCATGTCAGGGAGATTGATACCTCTCTGTCATTAGCCAGCGTCTGTCGAATGGCTCGAGTCTGTTAAATGATAGTATTGATCACCTGTTTTCTGGAAACCCAGCAAGTAGGTCAGTCCTACACATTAAGATATAACAATTAGGCTCTAATAATAGCCTTAAATAATAAGAATACCCTAATAATAATGTTGATAATCATAATAATCTCATAAATGTTATGATAACAATAATAATTTAATTCATTTAAGGATTTTAATCACAGAAGTTGTAGTGTCCCTTATTGAGGACAAAATTAAACATTTATTTTAATCAAATGTGTTCATTAATTTAATAGCCTATTAGATTCCTGTATGAATAAGGCAAGTAATGACCTAAAAATAAAACCTAGACGCAACCATGTAAGCTTTAATTATGAACTAATTGGAGAAGTAGCCTTATTAACCGAAGCAAGGGACAGGTCTATTATTTGGACTGAATAGTGATTAGCCAAGTGTAGTGTTGTGAGACTATACTCTGGTAGTCCCAATCCCTGCTGCTTCTTTTTGAGCTCCCTCATTTGTGGCCAGTTGTGGAAGAAAGCGTCTGTAATGAATCGACATACTCAAAGGTTCCTCGGCTGTATGTTTTTGTTTTGTCTTTTTCTAATGTGTTGTCAAAGACATGCAGGGGGTCATGTCCTTCTCTGACCTCGTGTCGGTTGCCTCAAACAGAAGCACTTTCACTTCTTCCCAGACCTTGTCATACAGGTTGGATATGACTTTATCAGAGCAATACTTTTCTTCTTTTTTTTAGGTGTGACTGGAGTTTTGATGTGTCACCTTCTTAATTTACAAATTTCTTGAGGCAAATAGTGCACACACCTTTGTTTCTGTTGGGTGGATCACCTTAATCATCATGACTAAACCTAGGATACTCCCAAAAAGAGTCAGAGGCTTTGTTTTAACTAGTGCTGTAACAAATATCCCCACCACTCAGAGTCATTATCTTTCTCTGCTCAGCTGCCTCTTGCACCAGTAGAGACTTACCATTGATGACACGTACTGTGCACTACAATACATCAACTCAATAATACAGCATGTCTATATCAGTTTAATAGAAATAAGAGTGTCTGTATATTTGATGATATTGAAAGTCATACCTGTGATTTCTGAATTCCCTGGTACACCCTTGATAGAGTCTTATCATCCTCTCTTCAAACCGTGTTAACAGAACAAACTAAGAAAGTCTTAATCATCATCCGTTTGGCAATTTGTCTGTGTGAGAACTGGCACCATTCTTCTTCTGTGGTACCGTTATTTCCCGGCTCGTTGCTGCACTCCCATCAGCACAGCAGCTGGTTCCCATTCTGGTGTCAACACAGAGGTCAGAGGTCACAGAAGCAGAGAGAGGGAGATGGCAAGGAGTGCTCTTACATTGGTTTCTCTGTACAGGAAACCATGTGACCTTTAACCCTGTCATCCCCCCCCCCCCCCCCCCCCCCCCCCCCCCCCCCCCCCCCCCCCCCCATCCAAACCCTAAAATAACATACCAACACTGTGACTTAGCTGATAGTCATTAACCCTGCACTGTCCTGTAAACTGTCTCTGTCTTACTCCGTTCAGATTAACAGTGTTGTGGGTTTAATTCACGTTGGTAGTCAGTCTGAATGAGTCACCATGTGTTTAGTGTTTCTCCTCACTGTAATGTCTCATTTCAGAGTTTTCCTATAATTAGCCTTTTCTCAGAAACTTAGGAAATGTATGGATGGTTTAATGATCAGTGTTGGGGGTAACAAGTTGCTGTAATTACATTACATAGGTCTTTAATACAGTACCATGATACTGTGAAATCGTTTTCTGAGACAGTGAGGTGTAAAAATATTGTTGCAACCCGAATCATCTCTTATGCTCAAAAAAAAAAAAGATTTGAATAAACAGAAAACACTAAATAAGCCGATTTAACCCTTGCACAATGACCGTAGTAATCAGACCAGCTGTCTCCCTCCTTCATATTTCCAACTTTCATTCAAGCCACCTCCATGAATGAATACATAAATAATGAGCAACATGCTGCAGATGCAGCGTGAGACTAAATACAAGTGTCTCATGTCTGTGGCTGTACAAGAATCAGGACATTCAGAGTCAACTTTGACTCTGGAGGCGACTCCAGCTCTTTAATTTGTCATGTGCTTGTGGGTCAGGCTTTCCACAGATATTTTGTGCTTTTATTGATTCTCGGCACTACTGTTGCTCTTTCTTTCTCTGCTCTGTATTGCTCTCCCCTCTGTTACAATCACAGTTAGTTTTGATGATTTTAGACGACAGCTACCGTTTATTCTGCACTGCTCTGTGGACAGTGACACAGCTAAAACCAAACGTGTGAGTCGACCTGGGGGCTTCTTGATAGATGATTCTAATCGTATCATGTCCGAATAAAACTAACATTTGACATTTAAAAGTCACGTCTGTCACTGAAAAGCTTGATGGAGCCACAGTGTTGTGTATTGTGAAGTCTGAAAAAGGCTGGAGAGGAACTGAACATGACTGTGAGGAGTTATTTGACTGCCTCAGAGAACCCCTCCCTCTTCACCGCCTATTAATCAATATATTTAGTTATAGATGTCATTCCAATAATTAATTTTTAACAGAGATATTGATCCATGAGTCACTGCTTGCTGAGTGCACTTTCAGATCCACACCAAACATCCAGCTGATCACTTTGTTCTGAACTTTGTCAAAGCCCTTTGTACCAGGGCAGGTTTACACAGTCAACATGGCACGCAGTTGATCTCTGTGCTAACATGCTAATAAATATGCTAATACAGGAGCAGAGCTTCCTATCAGGATGTTTCCCAGCCTTTTCTCATTAGAGCGCAGCCCTTTCCTGCCCGGGGAGGATACGAATATCATGAACAAATATGTGTGTATGTTGATACGTTAATCAGTATCTGTCCTGACTTGCCTTCTCCTGTCTTGTTCTCCAGATTCACAGTCAAAGTGGTTGTAGGGGTAAGGAAGTATTTCTTGGGTGGGTACAGTAGTGTTGAGCTAGTTTTTCAGGAAGGAAATATGTGACATATTTGTCTTCATCTCTCTGTAAGTATTATTGCCTTTCAGACAGAGGCATCTCTCACATAATTGATAATTTGAATGAATGTTATGGAAGCAGCTACAGCGTGCTCTGATAACTGTCAGCTGGATATGTGTGCCCTGTGGTAACGTGATTTGTTAGTATTTCATATACCTCATATACCTCTTCTGTCGCTGTTGAAGCTGAAAAATCTATGCTCTCAGACTGATCTGACACAAAGAAAATCTCATGTCAAAGAAGAAGCAAGGCTGAAGCGGTGATCTGCTTACACTGTATACTGTGGTATGAGAATAATTGGTCATTATGCCATGAACATTTGCTTATCAACAATATTAAAAAAAGCTACTAGTCGGAGAATCTCAAGTGTGCGCCTTTCCTTCTCGTCTGCCTGTCAGACTTGTTTCAAATACCTCCATTTAAAAAAAGATGTTTTTCATTTGAGGTTCAGTGTAACTACATACCATCTGGCTCTTGTAGAAGTCCCTTTTCCCTTCAGCCTTGTCACCAAAATGCTTCAGTACCCAAGCTTTTAATCCAGTCAGATTGTATCAATCACTGAAATTGGCTTATTTAAGTGTTTCCCCCAGTTGCAAACAGTGACACACCCTCAAATAACAGGCACAAATAAAAGTACTGTTGCTAGTTTTGTATGGCCAATAGAGAGTTTTGAGAATCTTGTTTTAAATGCTAAGTGAATTCAAAATATCCAGCGATACTTTAGAGCAAAATCTGATCATTTAAACAACTGCATGTAATCAAACTGTTGTAGATTCGACTCTGAGCAGGAAGGTGTGGCTAAATGACATGGAATAGGCACGGACTTGTTTGTTTCATCAGTGTCTTTCTTAATACTTTAACAGCATAGTGTTGAAATAAAAAAAGCCCAACATTTCCACATACATCTATTTCTAAACCCTGTGTGAGATACAGCAGGTGTCAAAACACACCAAGAAAGCAGAAATGAATACCTGCATTAAAACACAACATTTATATTTTGAGCTTTTTAGATGCACTGGTGTTGTTGCTCCATGGATGGCAGTGTCGGTTTGTTGTTCGGTCATTTGTGCGTCCCTCAGGATGAATTTGTGAGTGGTCCGTGAACTTTTCAAGATAAACAATGTATTAGTTAGTAAACTATTAGAAGTGCTGTCATTAATCTGAAATACATGAGTGTCCTGGATTTTCTCATGTAACTCTTGGCAAGGAAGCGATAAGGTGTTTTCCCAAAAGGGAGAATTAACTCCTCACAAACTCCTGAAACTTAACTTTCCTCAGTTTGCTGTGTGGATTTCTTTGAGCGCAAGATATAATTAAGTGATAAATTCATCGCACTCAACCAAATCAGGCTGGAAATGACGTGTATTTAATCTTTCTGTGTATTGAGGCTTGTCCTGCTGAAGCTTTTATGCTAATGTAACACACTCAGTTCACACTTCAGTTGTTTGCAGTGTTACAGAAATGTTACAGGTCTAGCCTTGTCAGATTTATGTTGGGACTTTAAGTTTATTCAGATGTGAACCGAACATGTAGAATTCCCATCACATGAATGTAATGAGGTTTTAAAGGAGCTTTAGAGCTGCTCATAGCACGTAAAGTAATGCTATTAGCACTGAATGTGTGTGTTTCTGTGTGTTGAAGCATTTACAATCATGAAATAATACATGTCTGTTGCACAACAGAGTAGTGAAGAAACACACACACACACTTACAGGTCAGGTGATTCAGACTACACACACACACACACACACACACACACTCACTCACAAAAACACAGTGAGGGTAGACATTGAAGCATACAGGAAGAGAGTGCGAGCTGAAACAGGAGAAGCTGAACTCAGTCCAGATCTGATTGGTATTCAGAGAACGAGTGCGTCTGCAGGGAGACATTCCTGCAGGAGGAGAGGAGAGGGGAGGTGGGGTGTGGGGGGAGGAGGAAGAGGGAGGAAGAGGGTGACTCCATTCATCAGCAGAAATCAAAAGCTGGACCTCTCTTCCTCTTCCTGTGTTTTTGAAGGTAGAAGGCAGTGTGTTTGTGTTGTTGTTGTTGTTGTTGTTGTTGTTGTTGTTGTTTTAGATGATGTCATCACTTCAGAGGGAAATCTCTTCTATCATCATCAACAACAACAACAAACATGTCTGGTTATAATACAGGCTTCATATTCTTTATTGTTGTTGTTGTTCTTTGGTTTTGGTCATTTCTTGCTGGTGAAGAGAAGCTTTGGTGATTTCATCTGTGTTGTTGCTCTGCACAGTGTTTATTACAGATAATCAGTTTGTTATACATAGTTTGTTAGAGATAAATAATTTGTTATTAATTGTTTGTTCGGGATAATTTGTTTGTTATAAATAGTTTGTTATGAATAAATATTTTGCAATAAATATTTTGTTATGGATAATTACTTGTAAAAATAGTTTATTATGAATAAATAATTTGTTGTTAATAGTTTGTTTGGGATAATTAGTGTGTTGTACAAAGGTCATTATGGATAATTAATGTTTTTGTTATGGATAATAAGTTTGTTAAAAATAGTTTATCATAATAGATATTTATTATAATAGTTTTTTATGATAAATAACTTGGTATAAATAGTTAGTACTGGATAAAAATTTGTTATGCATAGTTTGTTATGGATGATTAGTTAAAAATAGTTTATTATAAGTAAATAATTTGTTATTAATTGTTTGTTAGGGATAATTTGTTCTGAGAAAATTGTTTGTAATCAAAGTGTTGTTATGATAATTACTTTGTTAAAATAGTTTGTTATCAATAAATAATTTGTTATTAATAGTTTGTTATCAATGAATAACTTGGTATAAATAGTTAGTACTGGATAAAAATTGTTAAACATAGTTTGTTACGGATAATTAGTTTGTTAAAAATAGTTTTGCATGGATAATTTGTTCTTTGTAAATATTTTGTTATAAATATTTTGATATGGACAATAACTTTGTTATGGATTATACATTTGTTATACATTGTTTGTTATGGATAATTAGTTTATAATAAATAGTTGGTTATGGATAATTTGTTTTTTATATATAATTTGTTTGTTGCAAACAATATTGTCATCACTTCTCAATGGGTAATAACTTTGTTCTGATGAATACGTTCATTATACATAGTTTTTTTAACGGATAATTAGTATGTTATAAAAAGTTTTTTCTGGATAATGTGTTTTTTAAACATAGCAGTTCATAGATCATTAATTCCTTATACGTAGTTTTTGTTATGGATAATTACTTTGTTATACAGAGTTGGTAATTGATAATTTGTTATCAATAAATGGTTATGGATAATAATTTGTTTAATGTTTTCTTAAACATAAACAGGTTTTGATAGATAATTATTTTGTTATATTGTTACTGATCCTGGTTTGTGATAGATGCATTTTCTTTTGTATAGTTAAACATTATTCGTTTGTTTGATATGGATATTTTTTTGTTATAGATCATTTGTTTGTTGGTTAATTATTTTGTTGTGGACTATTACGGGGAGGCATTCTAAGTACAGAATTACTGAGTTACCAGGTCTCCAGCTAATATCATGAAATCTGTGTCAGAACATGACGTCTGATCATGATGTCCAACACTGGAGTTAAACACATTAAGAATTCTGTAATGTATATTAAAGAGAGAATTATTAATTTTTTCGCAAACTAACATAGTTTCCACTCTTTCATCAAGTTATTTCCCGATGATGCTGATGTAGCTGTGTCTTTCTGTCTGACCCAGGTGTGACCATAGAACCTGTCTCTACCAATCGGAAAGCAGCGTGGTGCAGAGAACAGGAAGTTCAGGCTTCATGAAGATGAAATTGAGTGAAGAGATGACAGAACGAAACAAAATGTCCAGATGACAACAGATGACACAATCCAAATATGTTGACATAGCGGGCTGAGCGTTTGATTGACAGCTCAACAATACACCCTTCGTCCTCCTCCTGCCACCCACTCACTGTCCATCCAGCCATGTTGTTGAGGAGGAAGCTGTGCGTTGCCCTGGTGATCGCTGCCATTCTCTTCCTCATGCTCGCGAGTCAGGGCATCCAGAGGAGACACTTTCTGCCTCTGTCATTGGCTCTGCCCATCAGCCGGGCCACCCCCACCAGCAGGGAGACAGGTGAGGAGCTGATGGCATCATCATTAAGTTTTCAGAAAATTTCAGAAAACAAAAGCGTGACAGAAGGTGTTTTCTATTAATCAAGACAGAAAATTGCCAAAACATGGCCTGAAAATGGCCGTAACTGTTACTTAACTTTTTCTGCAACTTTTTGGCTTAGTATTAAAAGTAGATTGTCCAGATTGTCCATACTGTTTTGCTAAAATTGTTTTTCAATAAATGAGGCTTATTTTGTTGTGCTTTGCTTCTGTAAACAAAATAGCAGTTGTAGTAGAAATAACACAATCAATTGACCCTTTGTTAAGTCCCGCCTCTTGATGCAGACCAGCTTATCATAATGTAGCATTGGTCCGGCTCAGACCAGGGTCCAACAACAACACAGCTGTGCTCCATTGACTTTAATGCAGGCTTTTCAGATTTCCTTCATTTTCAGGCTGGTTTTGTGGATATGGAGCTAAATGTTGTGCCTGGGGCACGTCGTGTATTAATGATACTCAGACCTCCGCCACCGGTTTATCTGCACACACTGTGATGCCACACAGCTGGTTCAATATCAGCAAAGTTTCCCTTTATATTCATTGTCTTGTGTGGCGATCACCAGTGATGTGGTGGTTCACTTTTACACTGTGATCTGTAGCCTATAGTTCGGCTTTAGCTTCTAACTATCTTTGTCTTGTTAACCTGTTGTTGCTGCTGAGTCAGTTTGACATCCTGGATATATCCTTCAAACATACTGTAGACCCCTCTGTCTGCTTCTCTCTGCAATCACTGTCTCATTTTTACAAAAATATGATCATATTTCTTCAGGGACTGTTAGTTAGTTACAGTGTGGGCTCCATGCTTACTCCGACAGCTTGTTGGACCATCACAAAGGGGCGGTAGTAGTAGAAGTATTAGTAGTATCGGTACTTGTAGTAGTGGCAGCAACTGTAGCAGCAGTTGTATTAGCAGAGGCAGTATTAGTGGTATTAGAAGTAGTAGTTATAATGTAGCTTCACGTATAATAGTAATAGCACTAGCAGCAGTGTTAAAGGTTGCAGCACTAATATTGACAGTTTATGATAGCAGTGTTAACAGAGCTCCCATGATGCAGTGTTCTCTGATTATCAGTCTGTTTGTGTTTGCAGTGGTCGAACCATCGGCACCTCCTGCTGATCTGACCCCTAACCCTCCTAGGACCCCTCGTCCCAGACCCATCGAACCTGAAGAAGAAGACGAAGATGAGCCTGCAGAGGAGTCCCAGCCTGAACTGAGGTAACACCGCACAGGAAGTGATATACTCTGCATCCCATAATTCCCTGTTGTGTCACTGACTTATTTCTCTGTGTCATCCTGTTTCAGATCGTGTGGTTGTACTAAGTCCTGTATTTCAGACCTGGCGGGGTCAGAATGGTTCAGCAAACGTTATGACCCCAAACAGCAGCCTGTCCTCAGAGACACCAACAACAACTTTGACCCTGAAGCGCTCAAATGGTGGTTGGTAAGGATGAATGTCTTTTTTTTTAATGACATGTTGATGGCATAACATACTATGAATGTTTCATAACATTTTTGAAGTCATACTATACTATGACTGTTTTCTGACATTTTTGACAACATACTATGCTGTGACTTTTTTATAGCATTTTTTGACGACATACTATACTATGACTTTTTTTTTTCATGATTTTGGGCGACACATGATACTATGACTTTTTTCATGATTTTGGACGACATACTATACTATGACTTTTTTCATGATTTTGGACAACACACGATACTATGACTTTTTTCATGATTTTGGACGACATACTACACTGTGACTTTTTTCATGATTTTGGACGACATACTATACTATGACTTTTATCATGATTTTGGACGACAAATGATACTTTTACTTTTTTTTCATGATTTTTGACGACATACTATACTATGACTTTTTTTATGATTTTGGACGACAAATGATACTTTTACTTTTTTTTCATGATTTTTGACGACATACTATACTATGACTTTTTTTCATGATTTTGGACGACATACTACACTATGACTTTTTTTATGATTTTGGACGACAAATGATACTTTTACCTTTTTTTCATGATTTTTGACGACATACTATACTATGACTTTTTTCATGATTTTGGACGACAAATGATACTTTTACTTTTTTTCCATGATTTTTGACGACATACTATACTATGACTTTTTTCATGATTTTGGACGACAAATGATACTTTTACTTTTTTTTTCATGATTTTTGACGACATACTATACTATGACTTTTTTTCATGATTTTGGACGACATACTACACTATGACTTTTTTATGATTTTGGACGACAAATGATACTTTTACTTTTTTTTCATGATTTTTGACGACATACTATACTATGACTTTTTTTCATGATTTTGGACGACATACTATACTATGACTTTTTTTATGATTTTGGACGACAAATGATACTTTTACTTTTTTCATGATTTTGGACGACATACTATACTATGACTGTTTTTTGACATTTTTGGCCACATACTACACCACGACTCTTTTCATGACATAAAACATCAACTTTTAATGCCTTCTTTTTTACTAACATTGTTATATAGTATAAGCAATGAATAAACCGCATTTTTCTATAATATTTATGTTTTACATTAACAGTTAAGGAAAGCACCTATTTATTTATTTTTTAAAATAGTAGATAAGGAAGATTTTGATGGGTATTTTTTTTGCTCTCTTGCGTAGTTAAGTGTGGTTTCAAGTTAATCAAGTGTGTGCCCCTATACAGTAAATGAATGCAGGCTGCTCTGTGGAAGTGACATGTCAGCATTGAATTGATGTGTCAACACTGAGAATTGTTAAATCAGCTGAATCACAGAACACAATGTGTCATTAGACCAACAAAGATGGGTGTATAAAATACTGCATGACAGTTATAGATTGTGTTTTTGTAAATAGTCAGGACCGTTTATGTATTTCCAGAAAATAAAAATGGAAAGTCTTAAAGTTGTCTTTTTAGATGCTGTCAGCTGTCTGGATGAAGAGACAAATGACTGAGTGTTTTTCCTGCATTTATAGATTAAGTCCTGCTGCAGAAACCATTAGTAGATTAAAGAGAGGCAGGGTGGAGGGTGGAATGGCTGCTAACATCATCAGACTGATTCATAGTATACTGTATACATTTTGTGTGAGCTTAAAGAAAACAACAACAACCAGAGCTGTATGCTGTAGTTACACTGTAACTGCAAGAACAGCTTTTGAGATGTTGGAAAGTGTTTAATTAATTCATTTTATGAAGATAAAGTTGCAGAGTATGGACATAAAACATTTGAATCATTTTGTTTTAAAAAAAATAATGTAATATTCTCCACTTCTTCTTCACAGAGTCTTCAGCGTTCCGGTAATGACCAGACTCTGGAGCAAGTGATGTCAGAGTTGTTCAAGGTCGTTTCCCCACCCACTGTGGACTTCCGGCCCCTCCCCACTCATTGTCGTAGTTGCGCTGTGGTCGGCAACTCAGGCAACTTAAGACAGTCAGGAAATGGCAACCTGATTGATTCCCACAATTCCATTATCCGGTATGTGTGTCCACACATACACACACATGTATTACCCTCCTCTTCACCCTCCTCCTCCTCCTCCTCATCTTCTGCACCTTTCTCCTCCACAGGATGAACAAGGCAGTGACTCGAGGATTTGAGAAAGACGTTGGGAATCGGACAACACATCACTTCCTGTACCCAGAGAGTGCGGTGGACATAGATCATGGCGTCAGCCTCGTCCTGCTGCCGTTCAAACTGAGAGATTTGGAGTGGCTGACCAGTGCGCTGTCCACCGGCGAAATTAAAATGTAAGAAATATCGATACAGAAATATACAAAATATTGCAAATATAAAAGAGAAATACACTCAGCTACAAGTTCATCAGGTACACCAAGTTAAAAGATTAATACAACAAGGTATAATGTTTCATGTCTGTTCAAAACCAAAAACATTCACAAAAATATATTAAAAATGTTGCAAATACATGAAATAGACACACGTTACATGAAACAGTTACACCACACATCAGACAAAATGTACTTACTTGATAATGAGTATGTACTGTATAGAATTATTATATTCTTTATATATTATATCACATAGATTAGAGCATACATTAAGAACATATCCTGCATTTTTAAATGTAAACAATATAAACATCGTTACTTGAAATATACACGTATTAAGCATTTACACCAGACAGGGCAACATAACATTAATATAACTGTCAAATTCTAAAATAAAAAGAAAGCAGGAAAAGCTTGCACACTGATCAGAAAAATGGATTGTCCACTCCAGAGGTTGATGGATGTCAAAGTAGCATGTTTAATGGTCCATCAAAAATATATAACGTGCTACCATAATGTGAAAAACAAAAAGAAACAGACTGAGGATGGCTGTGTAGCCTTCCTTGACATCCATCAACCTCCGGAGTGGACAATCCATTTTTCTGATCAGTGTGCAAGCTTTTCCTGCTTTCTTCTTGATATTTTTTGCCTACACACCTGATGTGAGTTTTTCTTTGGACTTGTAATAAGAGCGCAAACACCCTTGTTTGCTTTTTCTTTTCTTTTTATGCAAATTCTAAAATAAAACATGAGAAAATATCCTCATAATGTAGCAGTTATTTATATGTTTGGAAAAATGTAGAACACATATATATACAAATACTACACAGAAATATTATAAATTTATACCAACACTTATATACATCAATATGTATAAATATATACTATATGAATTTACATCAGATAGAAAAAACTTTTTCATGTATTTTGCATAAAATACTAATCTGGACAGTTTACTAATGTAAATATACAATTAATAAAAACATACCTAACAGCCTAAAATGTTTATTTACATACTGAAAACTTGAAATTTATCATGTACAGAAACAGACCTGAGAAAAATGCTGAGTCTGTTTATCTGTACAGTATAGTTATGGTCATATATATCAATTATAATACCTGTTTATATATTCACCATTCAGGTTGAATTTTAACATAGTAACATGATTACCAACATCAGACAGTGCAAAGTGTAAGTTACAAATGAACATTAATTCATGCGGAATGATAAAGAGAATCATAAAAATGTTGTATATTCCAATATGAAATACCTGAAGTATATTATGACCAGTAATTATTTCTGTGTGTGTGTTCAGGACCTACATGAGGGTGAAAGAGCGAGTGCAGGCTGATAAAGACAAGGTAAAATAAAAGCTCCACATCACAGTTTAGAGTCTGCTGCTGTTACTGCGGTCAGTTCTTATTGGCTCAGTATCAATTACATTGTTTTCTCTTTTCATTAGAAAGTTTCTACTTCTGCTTTTAAGTTTCAGTTTTTTTTCAGTTCTGCTTTAAATGTTTGCATCAACTCATTTAAATGTGTCATTTGTAAATCTGATCAGTGTATGGGTTTAAGACATTTTACACAAGTAAATAAAAGCTTCATAGCACAGATGAGTCTGCAGGTTCATAAAAAGCTAATTTAAGTTCACATACAGTTTGTTTATATAACCTGTAAATATCTTTATTCTTCATTGCAGTTGTTATTTTACAATTCTTTCTTTATTTGCTCTTACATACAGTTAAAGCTAAATTATTAAATTGGAAAGCATGTTCACATTAAATTTGATTTGTCCACGTCTGTCAGTTCAAATTATTTATTTAAACTTATGAAATCAAACTGCAGGTGCTTATAAAAACACTTCACTCCAAAATATGTGCCAACTGCCAGAGAGCCAATGAACCTCAATACATCAAACATGGTTACCATGGTAACTCCGTGTGTGTGTTTGTAGGTCTTGGTGGTGAACCCGGTGTTCTTTAAGTATGCTCACGATCGTTGGACAGAGGGTCATGGTCGCTATCCGTCCACTGGCATGCTGGCCATCATCTTCGCTCTGCACACCTGTGACCAGGTAGGAAGGAGGGGGTGGAGCCTGTGTGGTCATCTCTGACATCCACATAATACAATGTCACTTTTCAAGACAAACTTAATGCTTCGTTCAAATGGGGTCGTTTTTACCGTGTTCACAAGAAGAGTCTATATGAACACCCCCCATCCAAATATTCACAACCTCATTAGTGGAAATTTTCTGAGAGCTCAGAGTTCACTACTTTGTGTACACAACTTCCCACGTCGTAAATACAAGCTCACACTTTCCATTTGAACGTAGCATTTGTCGTCACCATAATATATGTTGTGATAATGCCACAGAGAGGAAAGACTGTGGAGGAAACATCACAAGGTGCATTCAGGGACACAGATATTTGAACGACCAAATTCACATCTGTTTTTCACATCACTGTGATGTGAAATTATTTTTGTCCTAATACCCATGAATGCACCTCGGATAAGGAACGTTTGCCAACCAGTCTCTGCTCTTAAATGCATCATCACCATGACAACAGAACTGACAGAAAGATAAATATCCTCACCATCACCAGAGTAGTGTAGCAGAGGAGGGCCTCACACGTGTCTTTGAAACGTAGGTCTTGTGACATTACAGCAGTATGTCAATGCATCACTTCCTGTCTGTGTTCAGGTGTCTGTCTTTGGTTACGGCGCCGACCAGCAGGGGAACTGGCATCACTACTGGGAGGAGAACCGCTATGCTGGAGCCTTTAGGAAGACCGGTGTGCACAGCGCTGACTTCGAAACAGAGATCATCCATCAGCTTGCCAAGGAGGGAAAGATCACTCTGCACCTGTGACACAACCACTGACCCACACACCTGATTATCTACCGACTGACTTATAAACAGACTTACAGACATGCTGACTGACCTACTGACTGAAGGACTGATTGACCGATCTGCTGACAGACCAGCAGATCATTCACCACTTAATTCTTGAGCCCAAGAACCAGCTACATCTCGTCTGGTATCCAGCTGAGTCTGGTTGATTGCGGCTGATGGCAGCACACGCAGCTGTCCTCAAATTAAAGCCATGTCTATGTATGATGGTTTGTTTCAGCCTGATTTGGACAGGAATCAGACCTGGTATTCTTGCACGTCAATCATTACACGCCTGGCTTGAGTCAGACGTCCAGGTATGTTGGACTGCAGCCGCAATTGGGCAGCAACATTTTTACAAACCTGGATTACCTGTGGACGGAGCCTTTGGGGATAGGAGGGGCTGAATCCACCACCTTCACCTACAGACTCCTGCTGGTTTAAATGAGTTCCGGCTCAACTGCTTTTCGGGACCCTCCACTGTTCAGACAGACCGTCCTGCCGTCTGCGACTGCGAGGATCGACCACATGAGTTTTGCTCTGAGCGGGAAACAACCACAGACTTTTTCTATCTTTTCTATTGGATTTTATAGACGTTATACAGGGATAACCTCTTTTTTTTATCAAAGCACTTTGCCTTGAAGAAGAAATGGCACCAAGTGTTGCCACATTGTCGCTTCTGTGTCCAACAATGTTACTTTTATATTTTATATCATTTATAATCCATCCATTTATTCTAACTGTATCTTAACGCCAACCGTCCTGATCTGGAGGAATTCTCCGTCCTGACAGACTTGAACTGGAAACGGGATAACGGAGTCTTGAAGTTTTCTCTCACGTCAACATTTCTGGAATGTAAGCCAATGATACTTCCTGTCTCGACCATATATGGAGCTGGAGGAGGAGCTTGTGTGAGGTTCTCAGCCTGTGTTTGAGCTTCGCCATGTTGTCCACGATGATTCAACAGTCTGAAGGTTTTCAGCTGATGTCACTGACGGTCCAAAACAGGAGTTAAATATGTTTCAAAGGACAAAGTTTTTCAGCTTGAAGTTAATGGTCAGCAGTAAAGTTAAACTACAGAAACAAAGTGAGTAAAGGGGACATTCCCATTCAAATCAACAAAGCTGGATGGTCAGAGCGGTGGTAGTTTTTATGTGTACTGTTGCTGTTTCAACTGTTGTAGGGCGCTAACTTCCGTATAAACTGAGACACGTATAGCTGCAGACACATTCCGTTTGTAGTGCACACGACACGCCCCTTTAAGCCACGCCCACCACTAACACAAGACAATCTCACCATCGTAATGGTTATCTGAACCTACAATGCTACAGTGTAGTTAACAAATTTGTGGCCATATGTAGAAATAATAACACATGAAGACGGACGACACGTTACTGTTCCCATTACCCTCACCCTACCCTTAACCACTTCTATTTTAACCTAACACTTCATAGCTAGTAGGGTTGCAGCGGTATGACATTTCCTCTGAACGATAACTGTCTCTGAAAATACTGCAGTTTCACGGTATCACGGAATTTATATGATATTATATTAATTTACATTATTTGTTAATTGAAGTCTGTGTAAAAAGTCTCCCGTTAAAATAACCAAACTAAAGGTGAGATTCTCCGTCCAGTTGCACTTCTTTTTTCCAATATCGTAGATGAGCAAATGTACATAGTACGATGACCGTCAACATTTATATCACAGTATACCTTAAAACCGGTATATCGCTGCAATCCTAATAGCTAGCTGATCGCCAACTTAGCATTTTTGTCAGGGCTTCTGCTTCCAGGCCAAGAGCAAGGGAGGCTGATCGTGGACTGACGTGCAGGTATGGTCGGTGAGTCATGCTGCTAGTGGGCGGGTCACGTAGCTGCTTCAGCTGCAGTTAAACGCACTTGTGTAAACTTAAACATAAACAAACCGACATGCATCAAGTCCTCAACTGACTGAGGGGAGGTTTTGCGGTAACAACCAAACATGGTGGGTGGACGATTTCAAATAATCAGTCCGTTATTTTTAAAACAGTACCATATTTCCGTTGTTCTTTTTTTGCTATTAATTGTACGTTTGTTGAAACACAATGTCGCTTCAGTGTAGCTGCCTCCAAAGAACGAGTGAGAACCGCTGCTTAATGGAAGGGAGGAGAGACTGCGGGGACAAACAGTACGCAGATTAGCCAACGTGGTCGATCAAACCAAAGTTGCTAATTGTTGGAACAGTCAACAAACTAACTTTTATGACTAACAATTCTAGCAAAGACAGTTTGGGTGAGTTTTATTTTGTGCTTGTCAAGTTCAAATGCAGTTCGCTTTCCGATGAGGTAAAAAGACTGCGGGGACAAACAGTATGCAGATTAGCTAACGTGGTTGATCAAACCGAAGTTGCCAATTGTTGGAACAGTCGACAAACTAACTGTATGACTCACAATTCTAGCAAAGACAGTTTGGGTGAGTTTTATTTTGTTCCTGCCGAGTTTGAATGCAGTTCGCTTTACCATGACGTAAAAAAGCAATTAAGCTAACGTTAGTGTCAGTTCGGTAAAAGAGAAAAACTTGGATTGGTGCACGGTTGTATTTTTCTGTTTAATAGGAAAAACCAAGGGTAAAAATAGGCATTCTCAAACTGTGACACACTTTGACGTGTGTGTCACCATAACAACCAACAAGTCGCCATTTTCTTCTGTATTCGTCAAATGACCACAGCAAACAGTTTAACGTACATTCTACTCATTCTGTTTCTATGAGTTAAACTCTACAACAACTAAAGAAGATGTGACTTACTGAATAAAGCTGCAGACTGTTGAACCTTGGGGACGGACGTGATGCAACTCCCCTGACTCAGCTCAGTTGATGCGAGCGACAAAGAGGAGGAGACAGTGCACGACTTGTAACTAAAGATTTATTAAACAAAACATAACAAGAACAAAGTCAAACAATCATGGTAACACCACCCAGTGTGCGGTGCATGGATGAGTGAGAAAGATGTAGTGCAATGTAAGTCCTACCAAAAATAACCAACCAGAAGAATAAAGAGTTACTGACCAGTCTAGCAGGAAGCACAGGAGTCGGTCAGCTGCCGGATGGACTTCCTGTTAAAGGGAGAGGGCAGCGTGCAGAGGGCTGTGTACTGTGAATGTACAAAAACTGTTACTGATTGTCAGTCACAGTCGTCTGAATGTTCGTGGCTTCGTTCACACCGTCAGGATTTTCAGGACATTTTCACACTGAGCAAGAGTGAGTCCGAATCAGAGTTTGATGTCACTCTGAGATAGCTTACTTACTTTCTTTTTTTTTTTTTAACTGTTTGTTTTGTCTACCCCCTGTGTTTTGAAGAGTAACATCAGGGTACAAATCCGATCCTAAATTTTGGCCTGCTCATGGATACATGGATGGAAGATGATGAAATCTTCATTTGGCCTTAACAGCACATTGTAACAGTTATTTGCGTTGCCAGAAATTGTAATACATATCATAGTATTTGCTTTCAGAGGTTGCTATTTAATTGATTTTGCTTAATTTTTGTTGTGTAAAAAGGTCATCAACGAATATTTTTTATCATTTTATTTCAAACTTAACACAGATATGTACCTCATGCAAAATCAGAAATGATCAAAAAGGATATTTTGCACTGTAGCTCAGAATTTTCTGCCTTAAATTATCTGTACTTCTGAAGCTGATTTATCTGCTTTACTTGTTGCTTTACTAAGCAGCAACTTGTATTTCAGTGATGTTTCGTTGTCAGTAATGTTAGCTAAGGTTATTGCTTTTGGAAGCGAAAAGTTCCAGATTTATGGTTTAAACATCCACAATCTTACTGAAAATTAGTTTGAAGATTAACTTATCTGCCCTCTAGTGGATATAGTTTTTAATCTTCCATGTACACTCAAAGTACATGGACAAAGTCATTAGTATTGCAGTTGCTTGTCTACGTTTTCAAATTGCTAAAACCAGGTATATATTAGCTCTCTAACCTCGGTGCTCTGCTTTTAGTTGCTTACTGTTTTGTTTGGCAATAGCGCATCAATCTTTAGCTTTATGATTGTGCTTGTTTTTTTGCCAATAATACCACAAACATGGACTCGAAGTTTCCAGTAGAGTCGTTCGATACTATACTAAAGCTACTACCTTCAGGTCGAATCGGGTTTAGGATCGAGATGAGAAAACTTTTGATGATACCAAATTTTTGCGCTCTGTTTCCAGGTTCATGCCAAGGCTACTGAATGAAGGTGGGGACACGATCTTTGACCTCATGGGAGCTACAAGATATGTCACATGAGCAATGTAGCTTGAGCCGGGAGGTTTACAGCCGACGGTACTAGAAATAAAGTGTAGTTGCTCTTTGTGTGCGCTCTTTTTTAGCCCTCTTGGGTGCGCTCCACCCGACAGAAGTTTTTGGGTACGCTTAAATTGACTGAAAATAGAGCAGTGGTTTCCAATTGGTTCAGCCACAGGTCCAGATTTTATTTTAGTCATTAGTTCCAGGTCCACACAGTTTAATATATTCAGTGTCACACTTGCATTTGGCCATGTCATCAAGCTAGTTTGTGGTCTCTGTCAAGTAGCTGTCTGTTAGTCATTCATTTTACAGCACGAAATGGCACTTTATAATAAAACCTCTGTGCAGGAAATTCACTGTGCTTAAAAATGTGTGTGCTTTTGACAAACTTGTTTGCGAGTCACTTGCGGTCTATTCAGAATGGACCTGTGACCCAATTTTGGACCGTGATGCACCATTTATGAACCACTGAAATAGAGCATTTTCAAATAGAAAACATTTGTTTTTGACATTTATGAAGGACCTTTTCAATAACTGCAGAATTAAATTTTCGTATTAAATACATTTTGATGTGAGGCCAACTGTGGACATCTCCGATAAACGAATCAATCATCACCAGGTTCTGTGTTAGTGCGTTAGCTGTTGAGCCTTTTCTCAGGTGCAGACCAGATTTCACTAAACATGTTGCACCCTAATGATATGATGCAATATGACATCATCTCTCTTTTAAAGCTCCTTGATTCAGGCCAAACTTGCCAGTGTGAAATCGCTCTGTAAAGAGGTCAGTCTGCTTCAAACAAACCTGCTGGTGCAACATCTAAAGGCCAGGATATGCTAGAAAAGAACTAGGTCACATGAAGTGCTCATAGTGCTCGTAGTCGTTCCTCACAGGAGAGAAACGCCTGCCATCACAGACTCCTGGCTGAGCTTCCCTCAGCTCCATCCAACAAATCTGTCTTTGTTGTGACAAAAATTTTTGGACGTAGCTGTTGGAAAAGAGAGTCTAAAGATGATCCAACACTTCTTTTAAAGCAGACTGAGACCTCTTATAAATAATCCCAAATGCTGAATTATCATCTGGAGGCTGTTGCTGTGTCGTTAACTCAGCTGCAGTTCAGACTTTAACCCGGTTTGTCTGGACAAGCTAATGGTCTCTTAAAACTCGACTGTGGAGTCGTCTGAAGCTGAGGTTTAATCTGAAACATCTGCTGCTTGTTTTTATAGTTTCTTGCTGAGATTTAACACTTTGTTGGCTTCTCCGGGAAAAATTCCTGCTGATAAACTGGGACATTATCCACTTTACGAGGAACATTCAGCCACTAAATGACAGAGCAGCAGCCCTCCAGAGTCCTGAGCTGGACTTCACATCCGGATGAAAGGTTTTTAGATTTCGCAGACTAAGTTATAGTAAAAAGATTTACTCAAAGTGTGTTGTGAGTATAAATCCAAAGTTGTGCTTTTTAGGTTCCTTGCAGTCTGGAAATGACTTCCATCAGGAATGCAGGAAAGTGCAGATTAAATCAACCAATCATGATGTATGATGTGTTACCATAGCTTTAATTCAGCTCATTGTTCTTTAACTGTGACTCTGTTGAACTGACATTTCTTTCTATTTTATCAAACAAGCGAACTGCTGATCATCAATTCATTCATTCATTCATTCATTCATAGCTACCAAACAGACAGAAGCACTGTGATATTTCAAAACAACATGAACCCAGCGCTGTCACTTTGAATGAAATAAAAAATATGAAACAAAATTTAAAGTGTTTTTTTTTCCTATCAAACTCTGGAGGTAAATGTCGACACAATCAAACCCAGATGGGAAAGGTTTTGCTCAAAAATTTGACGTCAGTAAAAGTTCCTTTTCGTCAGTGTATTGCTGCCATCATGATAAAAACATTCATCTCAGTTTCCAGTGTAAGATGTATCAGTCATGTAATTGACCTTTCACTAAGCCCCGCCCCTTTGTGATGGTCACACAGTGAAACTAACTGCACTCCTTCAAGAAATATTCTAATATTTTTGGATAAATGAAACTGTGATTCCAGAGAGAAGCAGACAGAGGGGTCTACAGTCTGTGTTTGAAGGATCGGTCGGTCTTTGTTTCACTGTTATAATCATTATAAAGCAAAAGCAGCATGTGTATACATTCAGTAGGCTATATCTTCAGTAGCTAGCTAGCTAACCCTACACTTTTCAGGGTTTGATTTTGGTTTTGGAACAGAGAAGAAACATATATCTTTTTCCAACCTCTCCAGGTAACGAGTATCATTAATACACGATAACATTTAGCTCCACATCCACAAAACCAGCCTGAAAATGAAGGAAATCTGCAACGATTACATCAGAGTCAATGGATCACAGCTGTGTTGTTGACGTCCCTGGTCTGAGCTGGCCCAATGCTACGTTATGATTGGCCAGTCTGTGTCCAGGGGCGGGACTTAGCAAAGGGTCATTTATGTTTTGTTTTGTTTTTTTAAATCACTAGATACCAAATTATTCTACTTCAGGAAAAAACATATTTTTATTACCACAAATACATTTCTTTATCTATCATGAGATGTAACAAATTAGAATGATGACAGATTTTGTATGTAGTGTTAACAAAAATGTTATTAAAGAAAAAAATATTTTTAAATTGAGAAACTGTCCTGTTTTTAACAAAACTGAGCAGATTTATTTTAGTAAAATTGGCAGCAATACACTGCTGTACTCACTGAGGCATTGTGATATCTTGGGACATCGAAGGCAGCTGGAAGCGTCAACTGTGTCCCATTTCAGGCTCTGCCTCCTCAGATGTTACTCGAATTTAGAGCCGACGACTGGTATTTATCGGGTAGATGCTAGGATCTAGTCACCGAATGTCAACATGGGCATACTGTACAAGTGTCGACACGATTCAACAGTTATTTAAACCCAGGTACAACGCAATGTAGTGAATAAATATGACGTCAAACGCAGCAATAATCTACATCAGAATTTGTTATGCACAGGGATTCACCTTTGAAGTAACTACTAGCTTAAAATAGCTAGCTGTTAACAGAAGTGTTGACGCTTGCACAGTATGCCAGTTTCACTCGGTGACCCATTCAGTGTCTATGTTCTAGCATCCTTTTTATTGTTTGGTCTTCAGTATCCCACAGTCCTTTGTGCTCTGGTCACTTGTTGGACCTTGTAAGCCCCACCTGAGGAGGCGGAGCCTGTCATGGGACAGAAGCGGCACCAGATCAATTACAATAAATACACTACAATAAATAAAAACAGAAAAAAGTTGTTCACTTCAGTTTCAAAATAAAAGTCCAGTGGGTTGTTTTATTTTGAAGTGAAGCATCTGTGCGCTTAATAAAATATTTTGTATTTAAAAATAAATAAATAAATAAATAAAAGTATCGTCAACATCAGACTTGAGTTGTTGCTTATCGGGTTTGTGCGAGGCAGTCTCCGTGGCAACGTTGTCACGAGACCCGAGCTACATAAAGATCTAGTCCAGTACAGATTCTTCACTGAAAGGTCATCTGTGATGTTTCCATGGTAACAGAAGGCATAAGAAACACCGGTTGCTATAGACGCCAGGGCTGATGGATCAGTCCAGTCCTGGGAGGTGGAGAGAAACAGGAACCTGAAAGTCTGACCTGGGTTCAGATTCTGCTGCTCAGTACTGATCTGGTCGGTTCTCCTGAGCCCCAGGTTCTGGTTCTCCAGGCTGACTGATGTGGTCTGGATCTGTACTGGTCTGGGGTCTGCACTGGTCCTGGTCTGGCTTGGTCCAGGTTCATGTCAGTCTAAAAGCAGCTGGACGAAGGAGGACGGAAACAAACCTCTCTGGTCCGGTTCATCCTCGATGTAACCGTGCTGCACACACAAACACACACTTGATTTACATTTATACATCCACTGAACATTAAGAGAAACTTGAACATAGACTCCAGACAACTATGTTAACTTTGGCACCAAATTTAGATTTTTCTTTTTCTTACAAGACGTATATCAGCCTTTGGCCCCATGTCCACCAAAGCGTTTTGGTTTTTTTTTACAGCTGAAAATGCCAGGGGCCGTATTCACAAAGCTTCCTTGTGCAAACGATTGTGATGTTTTCTTAGAATTTCCCCTTAAAGTTAAGGCTCACAAGGGGGCGTCTGTGACAACCAATCACATCTGTTAAGAGAATGCATCATGTCTAACAACAGGGTCGACCACACCTCCTCACTCAGATAAAAGTTTCTGTTCCTTCCTTACTCAAAGTTTCTCTGAGAACTTCCCTAAATCACTCCTACACTAGGACTCCTTAATAAAGTTTTTAGGCTACGTTAGGAGCTCTGTGAGAGTAGTCTCAGAATGTTTGTGAATACGGCCCCAGGTGCTCCTCAGAAGACAGCAAACTGGGAGCACCTGAAGCACTTTGGAGGTGCAATGTTTTTTTCATCTGAGAAATTTTGGTTGCATCTTGTTGCTATGATACAGAATATCCGCAAAAGTAAACACATCAGTAGAAGGTAGAGTATTTTCTCTGGGTAAGGGGAAGGGTGATGCACGCAGGGAAAGGTGTGGGTTCATGAGAGGAAACATAATACGTATACAGTATATCATTTCTCCTCCATTTTAGTTGTTGTTCTGCACTTCAGTCACAGTGGAGGAGGAACAAATAATGTGAACGGCTGAAGTGACAGTTACAAGCATGGCATTCTTACCCAAAGTTGAAGATTTTTCAACTCTCGGTGCTAAAGGGTCACAGTTTGGTCATTTCATTATTGTTAGTTTTAGTCAACAAAAGCTACATGTTAGTTTTGTCTCATCTTTGTGGCACATTTTTAATATTTTTAATATATTTCTATGTCCTCTAAGTGTTGTGAGGCAACAGCTGTTGCTATCTTTGTTGTGTATAGTTTATAGCCTATCACAAAGCGAGTGATAAAAACACTGTTTACCTGTTAATAGACTGAACAATAATCCACTCCAGTGGGAGCACCAATCAGAGTGCAGGACGATGATACGTACCCACCAATCACTGTCCTCCTGTCCCAGGACCACCAGCACTTGTCCCTCAGAGAAGCTCAGCTCATCGTGGTGGTCGGCCTGGCAGTCGTACAGCGCCTCAACCCGACGACTCGTCGCACCCCGAGGCTGGTGGATGGAAGCAAATAACACTGAGAATGATTCTACTACTACTAATATGAATGATAAATAATTATTTATCTGAAAAGGGTTTCGTTTCAGAAGAAATGCTCACTGATGAAGAAAATGTGACAAGCTGGCTGCAAAGACTGTTCTAGGTGGTCGTTAGGGATTAAAGGTTTTTGAAGGTCTCACCAATGATCTGCGCGGAAGCGGCTGGGGGGCGGGGTGTCTGCTGTCATGCTCAAAGCTCTGAGAGCGCTGACTGGTGGGAGACCCATTGGGCGGGGCTTTCTTTGCAGAGTGTAGGAAGTGTGAGGAGCTATCGTCACTTTCTGCCCTCCGAAAACCTCAGAGAAAGAGAGAGAAAAATAATGTAGATATTTTGACGTCAGGGTATTTTAACGAATATTATTTCAAAAAAGGTGAAGAACGAGATTTATTTCTTTCAGTCTACTGGTAATACCTTAGACAGTTTAGATTTTTAAAAATTTTAGGTATTTTTTTCTAGAATATATGTGAAGCAATATACATATTTTTGCTATAAATTAGGTAGAAAGGGAACAGAATATGAAGAATATTGTAGAAATGCAACAAAAAAAAGCAGAATATTCAGCTGGAAATGTAACTTGCACTTCTGAAATAAAGTAGGGCAGCTAAAGAAAATTTCCATTATTAATTAATCTGCAAGGACCTCAATTAAGTCAATGATTTATTTGCCGGAAAAGATGTTCATAACATATCACCAATGTTCAAGGCAATGTCATCACATTCCTTTTGTCTGTTCAGTATAATGTAAGACCAGGAAAATGTCACACTGGAGAAGCTTGAATCATTAAATAATCAACAACTGATGGATTACCAAATTAGTTTGCAATTAATTTTCTCTTGATTAAAAACTACAGCAAACAAAGCACAGTGACATCCCAGATGAAAATATAAACTCATCTGTTTAAAGTATTTGATGAAAAACTAAAATTTACAATCTAATTTTATCGGCCTCCAGCTGTTCCTCCTCCTCTGGTTAAAGCTCCAGTGAGCTGTGATCATTTATCTCTGGTACACATGACAGATTCATCAGACTCCAGACTAATAAAACAGACACGGACGTTTCTGGACAGGACGTACCTCTTTCTGGTCGTTCAGTCAGCGAGCTGAGAGGAGACGCCGGGCTGGAGAGACAGAGACAGACAGACAGAGAGGAGGAGACAGATTTATGACCTGTAATTCAGCTTCAGTCCACCAGAGGTCAGCACAGTCTCTCAGTTCAGCTGACAAAGAGCTGTTTCAGCTTATTCATGCTTCAGTACAAACTGATGAGAACAAACCCCCGTAATTTAACCTTAAATATCCTCCTCTGTTCTTTTAAATTTGTGAAACAACATTTGCCGTATCATGTTGTCCAAACATTAAAGTTCTCTGATTTCTCTGTTTCCACTCAATTAAATATCTAAGGCTCTTGTGTTTTTAATGGCTCACCCTTTCTACTAAATGGAAATATTTCAATCTGCTGCATCACTTTAGACACATTTGACCAAAAACTCAGCCAGACATATTTGTATCTTTGGACATTTTGGGATCTGACCTAAATTCAAAATAAAGCTCTGTGAGTTTGAACAAAATTTGGACAAAAAAACAAGACTTTGTAAAGATGAACCCACCATAAAGGTTTCTGTCAAGTTTGGAAGGTTTTACAGGATTAAGTTCTTTAAATTAAACTGATAAACTAAAAAGATGGACGACATGACAGCTTCCAAAAAGTGAAACCAAAGCATCTTGATCGCCCCCTGGTGGCTGGCTGCAGTACATGGGCTACTAATTCAAGTTTTATGGTAGATGGTATTTAATAAGGCTGGCCCGTAAAGGTCGAAGATTCAATGATCAGTCGGACTGAGACTGAGCTGTCAGGTTTTTGTTTTGTTTCTCTGAACATTTCCTTCGCCAGAAACAGCTGCAGAGTGAGTGCTCCTCACTTTCACGCTGCTCTCTGGTAGCTCTCTCTACAGGCAGCTGTGGACCCAGAACCAGTGAGTCTGAATGAGAGGGAGGCAGCTGCCTAGAGGAGGAGAGGCTTCGCCCCCTTCAGGCTCTTAGGTAACATCATCTTCTGCCTTCTGCTTAGAAGTGGTAAGTTTACAGAACACAGCAAATAAATGCGACAGTCTCTGGCTTTTGTTTGATGCCTAGTGTTTGCAAAAATTGTTGCACATATCTGACCCGTCATTAGCATAGTAAATTGGCTTGTTCTCTAGATTACGTAAATGTTGCTGTCACCCTCATGAACCCTGTTCATACTCTCAAACTCTACTTGGAAAAAAAGGAACTAATAGTCAAATATTCATATTAAACAGCCAAATCTGATTCGACTGACTTAATTCTGAGTCGGTTGCAGCCCTGGTATTTAAACTTTTGCATTAAAAATGAAAAAATCCGTCAGGTGTCGGGGCCGGCATGACATCATTCCATTGTAGAGCCAATCAGGAGCCTCGTTATATATGGTGTGTTTATAGTAATTAATTTATGTTAAAATTCAGTGTGTCTCAGATACTCACACACACTTCTTAAAAGAGGAGTCTGGACCGCTGTAGATCCTGGGACTGGTTGGCAACCCGTAATCTACACACACAGACAGACACACACACACACACACACACACACACACACAGTTAATAACACAGTGTCACTTGGACACATTAATTGCAGCGTGTCTCTCAGATGTTACCATGCGTGCTGGACTCGGAGCAGCTCCTCTTGTGTCGGACGGCGATGGGAGGAGGAGGCGTCAACTTTCTGTTTCCTGTCAGGGACATGAAGACCTCCCCGTCTTCGTCTTCTTCCTCCCCACCTCCCTCCCCCCCAGCAGGAGGTGGGGGCGGAGGAACAGTGGGAGCTGGAGGATGACAGAAAGCAGAGATGGAAGTTTAAGGTTTGTTTTTTAGTAAATGAATTAAATAGTTTCTTCCATCAGTATCTGAGCTGACCTTTGACCCTTGGGGGCAGTGGAGGTGCAGGGGAGGACGGAGGAGGAGGAGGCGGGCTAGAGGCGCAGCCAGAGGGCCGGCTGTGGAGCTCCATGGCCATGGCGAGCCTCCTCCCCACACTGAGCAGACCTCCTCCAGCTACTCCAGAGGAGGGCGGGGTTCTGATGGAGGAGGCGGACTGATTGAAGGTGAAGGGACGGGATGAGAAGGAGAAGGAGGAAGTGAAGGAGGTGGACGAGAAGGAGCGCTCCTTCTTCACTGGACCATTCTGAAACAGAGGAGGAGGAGGAGTTAGAGTCATACTACTACTCTCCTGTGGAATCATCTTCCTATTATGGTCCGGGAGGCAGACACCGTCTCCACATTTAAGACTGGACTTAAGACTTTCCTCTTTGATAAAGCTTTTAGTTAGGGCTGGCTCAGGCTTGCCCTGTACCAGCCCCTAGTTAGGCTGACTTAGGCCTAGTCTGCCAGAGGACCCCCCTATAATACACCGGTCGGTCTCTCGGTCTCTCGGTCTCTCTCTCTCTCTCTCTATTATGCTGATCTGTTCTGTACGACATCTATTGCACGTCTGTCCGTCCTGGAAAAGGGATCCCTCCTCAGTTGCTCTTCCTGAGGTTTCTACCGTTTTTTTTCCCTGTTAAAGGGTTTTTTTGGGGAGTTTTTCCTTTTCCGCTGCAAGGGTCATAAGGACAGAGGGATGTCGTATGCTGTAAAGCCCTGTGAGGCAAATTGTGATTTGTGATATTGGGCTTTATAAATAAAATTGATTGATTGATTGATTGACTAATAAATGAAAATGACAAAGAAGGAATAAAACACATTAATAGCAGGCTTCCAGTTGCCATGATTACCTTTTCGTCAAAGTCATCATCACTGTCGTAGAGATCGTCATGGCGAAGCCTCCACTCATACTCCACGTGGACGTGATGGTCAAACTGGTTGGACTGGGCCTGCAGCAGCTGCACAAACAGGACGCAGTAACAGTGAGTTTAACGCTAAACCAACAGTCACATGTGGAGACGTGTGATCAGAGCGAAGACCTCACCAGCGCCTCACAGTGGCCGTACTTCAACCTGTGGCTCACGTCCAGAGCGGTCTCTCCTAACTCGTTCTCTGTTCGCAAACAAACAAGGAAAATGTTACGGAGATGTTCCTCACTTTTTTTTTTAAATGTCCTCACTTTAAAAAAAAAAAAGTCCTCACTTAAAAAATAAAAAAATGTCCTCACTTTTTTTTTTAAATGTCCTCACTTAAAAAAAAAAAAAATGTCCTCACTGTCTCAGGACATCTTCACTTCACGAATTGTGTTCATGAGTCCTCAACTGTACAGAGTACAAATGTGTGTGTGTGTGTGTGTGTGTGTGTGTGTGTGTGCATTACTGATGTGTATGTTGGCCCTGGCTCTCAGCAGTAGTCTCACACAGTCGCTCTTGTTGTGCAGACAGCTGTAGTGCAGCGCTGTGTTTCCTGATGACGTCTGCACATCCACGTTGGAGCTGAAGACAAAAACATACACACACGCAGGTGAACACATCAACACACACTGAGATGATGTCACTCATAAATGTCGTTGGAGCACACTGACCAGTTCTGAGCTAAGAAGTCCAGGATGTGCAGCGACGTTCTGTCAGCCAATAGGACGGCTAGATGAAGCGCTGTCTCCCCTCTCTCCTGTTGGCATGGAAACAAAGTGCTAAATGTGTGTGTATGTTTTTATTGGAGTTTACATGTTTTTTAATGGTGTGTGTCTTAATTTGTGTAATAGTGTGTGTAAACCTGTGCCTGTGTGTGTGCAGCTTTTCGTGTATATAACTGTATGTGTACGTACCTGTAATTGTGCATACCTGTGTGTACCTTTGTGTGTGTGTACATGTGTGTACTTGTACATGAGCGTGTACCTGTATGTGTCAACTTGTGTGTACCTGTATGTGTGTATACCTGTATGTGTGCACTCCTGTGTGTACCTGTATATGTGTGTACATCTACAGCTTTTCATGTAAATAACTGTATGTGTGTGTGTGCGTGTACCTGTATGTGTATGTGCAGCGGCTGGCTCAGCTCCGCCCTCTGAGCGTACAGCTGGATCAGACTGTAGATGTCGCAGTTCTTGGTCGCCTCCTGCAGGCCGAGTCGCAGCGCTGCATTCGAGCTGTGGCTCCGCCTCACAAAATGAACGTCCTGATACTTTGACACGATAAAGTCTTTACGCTCTCCCCTGCACGCACACACACACACACACACACAGTATGACATTTATTAAAGGTGATATATTTTCACTGGAATAACAAACACCTGTGTGTGTGTGTGTGTGTGTGTGTGTGTGTCTTACATGTGGCTGTGTTGGGACGGCTTCAGTGACGGACTCAGCAGGTTCGCCTCCAGTATTTCGTTAAAACCAGAGTTACCGACATTCCTCGCCAGCTGGGAGAGAATAATAATAGTAATAATAACAACAATAATAATAATAATAATAATACATTTTATTTATCGAGCACCTTTCAAGGTACTCAAAGACAGAATTGTCTCACTTCCTGCTCACTCGCACACACAACAGAAAAACAGAGACAGGTCTGAAATCAAGTTTGTTCTTTGATGAAGACTCAAAGGTAAAAGACTGTGGACATAAAAGTAAAAAAGGAGATGTAAACTATGACTCCCAGGGTGCATTTCAGTGAGAAACATCCAATCACAGAGCTTTGCTTATGTTACGACAGGAAAGTAAAAGTTGAAGATGAAGATGTTCAGAAAACTGATTTTATAAGTGAGGTTTGACCTCAGGCCTACCAGCAGGTCAGAGGTCCCCAGACTGTCCAGGCTCAGAGACTGGATCCTGGAGACGTGGACGCCCATCTCCCTGTGGATCCCCGAACACTCGATACAGGTCAGGATGCCCAGGTTGGTCGAGAGCCATCCAGGATCTAAAGACAGAGAATTAAAGGTTACTGTCACATTAGATGAGTTTCACTGACAGTAGCATTGAGAAAGAATTAAAGTTGCAACTAGCAATCTTTTAATTTATTTTTATTATCATATAATCTTCCAGTTATTTGCTTGATTAATTTGATAGACCAACTGTCCAAAACCTAAATATGTGTGGGTTTACCAGGTTTACTTTCATAGTAAAAAACAAACAAAGTACTTATACTCCGGAACAAAGGAAAATGGTTGTGGACTTGTTTTCTGACAGTTGTATGGTATATGTTACAACTGGATCCTTGTATTTGTTGCCTGTTTGTCTGACTGTGAATATTTTCATCTCAATGGCACAACCTGGTTGAATAAACATGCATTGATTGATTAATTGACTGACTACCTGGAGCTCCGCAGTCACAGCAGCTGCTGTTTCCTGGCATTCGTCTGATGTCATCAGTGATGGCCCGGGTCAGATCCTCCACGCTGCTCTCCCCAATTCCTCCTCCTCCTCCTCCTCCTTTCCTCCCTCCGTCCAGAGCCACATTCAGAGCCTCCTGCTTACTGTTACTGAGCACCGAGATCCAGCTGAACACACACACACACACAGTTTGATACTTCACCTTTTCAAATCAACATAAATACAGGATGATACCAGATATCAGAATTTATCCACAGCTCATCAGAACAAAGTTTATTTTTGACTCACGCCACACACTCTGCTTCGTCCTCTGCCAGGAAGTGGTAGGTACGATTATCTGGAGGAAAACATGTCTGTTACATACACTGAGTGACATATTAACACATATACTTGTGTGCATTTATGTTACAACCACTGAGAACTCTGGATTCTGATTGGTTGGTAGGTGTGGATACATTTTTGGCAACTAAACTAACCAAACATCCATGTTGTATTTTGCAGTGGTTTTCAAACTTTTTGTGCCCAAGACACACCAAAGAGCAAGCCAAAATCTCAAAGCACACCTTCTATAACGTGTGTTATCCCTCTTATCACAACAGAAATGTTTGTTTTTATTTACTAAATTCAAATTACTATTGACAATTAACCATAGCTCATGAATTACTTATTAACAAAATGATTCAAGAATAAATTTTATACTTTTTAAAGATACATCAAAGCACCAATAACACATCCATTTAGACGGGGAATAATGGAAGATAATGCAAGATAATTTGATGTAAAACAATTTACATATATAGATCAATATTTCAGATACACTCCATCTGTATATTACTTTGATCTGGAATATCTGGAGACTGCACTGTTGGTTTTGCACATACACATCACATTTATAGCCCCTGGACTGGGGAAATGTATTTTATGTAATTTTCTAAATTATTTTATCATTTTATATCTGTATATCTGTATCTCTGTATCTATATGTAAACCTGTATTCCTGTGTGTGTGTGTGTGTGTGTGTGTGTGTGTGTGTGTGTCTTACGAGAGATGAGGTCGAAGCATTTCTTGTCCTCCACACTGGGTTTGACCTGACAGGTGAGCAGGTTGAGTCTGGTGGGAGGTTTGTTAGGCTGGAAGGGACAGAGAAGATGATGAAGTGTGTTTTCAGTTAGAGTTTAAGTATCACAACTTTAATGCTAAAGGTCAGAGGTTACAGCTCATCACACAAACAAACACAGATGAGCTCACCGTAGCGTGTGCGATGGTCAGGTAACAGTTGTGAACTGAACATTTTCTCTTTTGCCACATTTTCCTCAACCTGAAACACAATCAGACACAGTTTTAGTCCGACTGCTAATAATACTACCAGTATTATTACTGCTAATACTGATGGCCAGTGTTCAGTGTGTACATATGTGTGTTTATTTAATTTTTTTTACCCATCACTCTTCTTGTAGAGGAATCCTGTTCTTTCTGTCCCATACTGTTTGTCTCCCAACAGCTGATGCATACTGTACACCTGCTTAGGTAAAGAGTCCTACACACAAACACATTAACACAACACACACACATTAATAACCTGTTGAACAGTGTCATAATGTTAGCTGGTGTCATTGTTTTGTGTCTCTGACCTGCTCTGTGTGGACAACGGGCCTCAGCTGATCTCTGAGAGTCACCAGCTGCTTCTTCTCCTCCTCCTGACGCTGCTTCACCTGCAGGCACATGACAAACACGTCTTAACTAATCCAGACTAACTGCTGTTATCAGGCTAAAATGATCCTGTTAACTCTCATCCTGCTAATTAGTTTTTTACATTCTTAAAATCTTAAGTAAGTATGCTCTTATTTTGAAGGAAAAGAAGCATGAGTATGATTGGCTGAGTGTGATTATGTGATCATGTGATTGATATAGGTGTGTAGTAACACCTCTAGTCGGGGAAGAAGCACTACAATCCTTAATATAATACACAGCTTCTTTATACAGTGCCCTCCAAAAGTATTGGAACAGTGAGTCCAATTCGTTTACTTTTGTTGTAGACTGAAAACATTTGGGTTTGACATCAAAAGATGAATATGAGACAAGAGATCAACATTTCAGCTTTTATTTCCAGGTATTTACATCTGGATCTGATACACAACTTAGAAGATAGCATTATTTGTAATGGAACACAAAATTTTTAGGTGAGCAAAAGTATTGGAACATATAAACTTAAAATAGATTAAAGTGAATGAGACTTAATATTTAGTTGCAAATCCTTTGCTTTCAATAACTGCATCAAGCCCGTGACCCATTGACATCACCAAACTTTTGCATTCTTTTGTGATGCTTTTCCAGGCTTTCACTGCAGCCTCTTTCAGTTGTTGTTTGTTTTGGGGGGTTACTCCCTTCAGTCTCCTCTTCAGCAGGTAAAATGCATGCTCTATTGGGTTTAAGTCTGGAGACTGACTTGGCCAGTCTAAAACCTTACACATCTTGCCCCTGATGAACTCCTTTATTGTTTTGGCAGTGTGTTTTGGGTCGTTATCTTGCTGCATGATGAAGGATCTCCCAATCAGTTTGGTTGCATCTTTCTTTAAATTAGCAGACAAAATGTTTCTGTAGACTTCTGAGTTCATTTTGCTGCTGCCATCATGTGTTACATCATCAATGAAGATGAAAGAGCCCGTCCCAGAAGAAGCCATGCAAGCCCAAGCCATGACATTACCTCCACCGTGTTTCACAGATGAGCTTGTATGTTTGGGATCATGAGCAGATCCTTTCTTTCTCCAAACTTTCGCCTTTCCATCACTTTGGAAAAAGTTAATCTTTGTCTCATCAGTCCATAAAACTTTTTCCCAGAATTTTTGAGGCTCATCTCTGTACCTTTTGGCAAATTCCAGCCTGGCCTTCCTATTCTTCTTGCTAATGAGTGGTTTGCATCATCTGGTGTAGCCTCTGTACTTTTGTTCATGAAGTCTTCTGCGAACAGTAGATTGTGATACCTTCACTCCTGCCCTCTGGAGGTTGTTGCTGATGTCACTAACAGTTGTTTTAGGGTCTTTCTTTACAGCTCTCACTATGTTTCTGTCATCAACTGCTGATGTTTTCCTTGGTGTACCTGTTCGACGTCTGTTGCTTAGTACACCAGTGGTTTCTTTCTTCTTCAGGACATTCCAAATGGTTATACTGGCTATGGCCAATGTTTGTGCAATGGCTCTGATTGATTGTCCATCTTCTCTCAGATTCACAATTGCTTCTTTTTCACCCATAGACAGCTCTCTGGTTTTCATGTTGGTTCCACCTCTAAATGCAGTCTGCACAGGCAAAACCTATCATACCCAATCTGAAACTGAGCTCAGACATCCAGTGCTATTTATTGTTTGAATAATCAATGTAATTGGGAGACACCTGGGCAACAAAACACACCTGTCAGTCACATGTTCCAATACTTTTGCTCTCATGAAAAATGGGTGGGTTCAAACAAAAGGTGCTATCTTCTAAGTTGTGTATCAGATCCAGATGTAAATACCTGGAAATGAAAGCTGAAATGTTGATCTCTTGTCCCATATTCATCTTTTGATGTCAAACCCAAATATTTTCAGTCTACAACAAAAATAAAAGAATTGGCCTCACTGTTCCAATACTTTTGGAGGGCACTGTATATGAGGTCATATATCGGTGTGCTGTCCAGACGGAGGGCAGGCAACTTGAGGCAAAAACGACCAGCACTGCACAAATGCTTATGATCTCAACTGTGTTGACATGAGTCAACTCATGTCAAACATTAACATTAAAGCTTTGTGTTAAACATGCCTCGTGTAAGATGCAATTACAGTGGGCCTCATTCACTAATATGTGCACAGAAATGCTCTTACTTTTCGCCTAAAATAAGTCTGCACGCATGTCAGTACGTCAGTATCACTTTAAACTGACAGGTTCAAATTCAGGTAAGAAAATATGGGTGAATCCTAGATTTGTTTAGTTTAGTTTATTAGGGTCCCCATTAGCTCCTGCATTGCAGCAGCTATTCTTCCTGAGGTCCACAACAACTTTATATTTGTGACAAACAGCTCACATATAACACTTAACAAAATAACAGGACAAGACTAAAACGTTGACACAGACAAACGAGACAGCTCCTGGTAATACAATACATAAGATAACGTTATACTTTTCATGATTACATTTGGTAATTAACCTCCAGTTTGGGGCTAAATGTTGCTCTGATCACCTGATGATGCTCCATTATTGTAATATTAGACCAAGTAACATAATACGATGCTTCACCAGACACATTACATGTGCATTAAAATTAATAGTTACCAGGAAAAACAATATTTTTTTTACCATGAATGAAGTTCATTGCAGTGTATGACTCATATTATATAGGTCACCTTCTGGGTAATCTCCTTTGTAAAACATGAAAGTGTGATTAGCATGCTAACAGAAAACAATTATTTGTGCTGAAAAAGTTCATAGGCATCTGTTTGTAAATGAGGCCAAATGTACTGAGACAACTTCTCTGTGTTTTTGGTATTTATCCACAACCCAGGTTTTTAACAATGTATGGCAAGACCTGTGGTCAGCTAATGTTAGCTAACGTTAGCTAGTAACATTAGCTTGTAATGTTAGCTAGTAGCGTGGATCCATGTACAGAGTTTAAATATAAAATACAGTTACACTGGAGCTCATTTACTCACCCGGCCAAAAATAAGACAGCAGCTGTTTCTGTCGTAACGTTACCGCACATAAAACAGTTATAGTCCATGCAGTTTCATCGTTTCACCGTGTAACGTTAGTAACGTTCGGCGGTCTGGACTTCGAGGTTGTAACGATCGTGTCCACACCAGGAAATCGGTCAAGTTGTGGGAAAATCGCTTCTCTTTGTTTTATACGGATCACATCCAACACGAGTTTCCATTTTGTGACGACACCAGCCGCCTGCAGGTCCATTTAAACCTTTAAAGTAGTTACTTACTTTCCTGTACTTCTAATTGACGCAGTGGAGTTACATGGATTAATCACTTCCTGCCGCCATTTGAATTTCGCGCGTCATAACAGTCACGTGACCGCAAACAACGACAGTGTAAACATACTGTTAAAAAAGTGTAAAAGTAAAGCACAAGACTGTCCAAACATATTTTAGTTAAAAAAAAAGTAAAAGTAATTATTATGCCGAATGTCCCATTTCAGAGTAAAAAATATTATACTCTTGATTTATATTTTAATGATGCGTTGAATAAGTTACTAAGTAATAAGTTACTTTCTACCACTGGAAGCCTCTCTATGCTTTCTGTGTGGTTCTGCTTTGTTACTGTTGGTATTGTGTTTAACACTGTGCTCCACAATGTTTCAACTGTTTCCATCATGTACACATGATTAGGTGTTACACGTTAACTAAATGTTGTTTAATCAGTGTTGTGTATCTGTACTTAAGATGCAATTTATACATTTTAGTGTTCAAATGACAAATTCTCATCATAGTTTTAATTATCAGAAGATTCTAACTGAGTTTGTTATTACTTAATTTTTTAATAGTACCCATTTTATTTTGTGTTTGTGTTATCTTTGTGAAAATCAAATATTGATTACAGTCTGTTAGCACCTCCTACAGGCTGCAGTGTTCATTACAGTTACAGTGTAGAAGAGTAACTGTCATCATACCGTGGTCAGGACTCCATTCAGCTCCTCCATGTACTGCTTCAGCCTCTGAGTGGTGGACACACACTCCTGCAGGAAACTATACACTCACACGCGCACACACACACACACACAGATACACAGATACAGTAAATACAGTCAGTTTACTGCATGTGGGCTTGTTTCTGTGTGTGTGTGTGTGTGTGTGTGTGTGTGTTCTTACTTGTTATGGCTGTGGTAGTGTTTGATGAGGTTCTGCAGCAAGTCGACTCCTCTCTTTGTTTTTATCTCGTTCACCTTAATCAAATACTGACGGAGAGACGGACAGAGAGACAGAGGGAAAGTCCAATAAATATTGGACAGAGAGGGAGAGAGAAGGAGAGGAGTGTATTTATTGGACAGAGAGAGAGAAAGAGGGAGAGGAGTGTATTTATTGGACAGATAGAGGGCAGCATGTTTTATATTAGTGATGGGTTTGTTTCAGGAGGAGGTGGAGAAGTTTATAGAAGATTAGCAGGAGGAGATGGAAGACAAAGAAGAAGATAAAGAAGTGGAGAGGAGAGGATAAGAGGGAAGAAAGAGAAGGAGGAAGAGGAGAAAGAAGATGAAGAAGAAGATGAGATGAGGATGAGAATGAGAAGGAAGAAGACTGAGGAGGAGGAGAAAGAAGTAGAGATGAAATAGATGGGGAAAGAAGAAGGGGAAGAAAGAAGAGGGAAATAGACAAAGATATCAAAAGGGAAGATGAAAGAAGAGGAGGAGAAGGGAGAGGAAAAGAAAAGAAGGAAAAGAAAGGGACAGGAAGAGGAATGAGAAGAAGAAAAAAAGAAAAAAGGAAAAAGAAGAGGAAAGAAGAGGATGAAAAGGAAGAATGAGGAAGAGGAGGACAAAGAGGAGAAAGAAGGAGAGGAAAAAGATGAGGAAGAGGGAAGAGGAAAGCAGAAGGAGAAGACGGGGGAAATAGAAGTAGAGGATAAGGATAGAATAAGGAAGAAGAATGAGGAGGAGGAGAATGAAAAAGAAAAGAAGGAAAAAGAGGAGGGGAAAAGAGGAAGAAGAGGAGAATGTGAAGGAAGAAGAATGAGAAGGAGAAGAAAGAAGACAAAAAGAAAGAGGGGGGGAAAGAATGAGGAGAAAGAACAGGAGAGAAAATGGGAGTACGGTATGAAGAGGAAAAATGAGAAGGAGGAGAAGGAAAAGACAAAGAAGGAGAAAGCAGAAGAACACTGAGGAAGTAAAGGTGAAAGAGCAGGAGGTGGAGGAGTAGGAGGAGGCGGGGTTAAAGATGGAGGCGGAGTCACTGACCTCACACATGCTCAGTTGGAAGGAGCGTCTCTCCTTCTCGAGCTCCTCTGCGATCTCTCCTCCGCTCACCTCGCTCCTCACCATCCCATACTGACGAGCCAACTCCCTCTTCTCCTTCTCAACCTGCTTACTGCACACACACACACACACACACACACACACACACACACACACACGGTTTGTAACCTGTCAATCATAATCCATTAACAGTTACTGTAATCATCTTTTTAAATGGATCCATTTACAAACATTCTTCTATCCAGCTGTTCTTTGAAGCCTCAAGAGACAAAGTAAAATATTATTTTGGTCAAAAGTCCTGATCTGTCGGTATTAGAAAAGGATATTTTACAATTAAAATAAAAACATGCTCGCTCAGAGGCTATGATGATGATATTTCCCCACATAAACACACAGCAGGATACTCTGACAAACAGATCATAACAGAGATACTAGTGTGAATGAAAACACTATCAGAGTGCTGAGATAATCCAGTTTGATCATGACTCACAATCTGCTCTCATAGTCCCTCCATGCTCTGTCAAAAGGCTTCTTCAGATCCTACAAAGATACAGTCAGAGGAGGAAACATGATTTTAATTTCACTGACACAGAGCACCATCCTGAGGCCACAAAGAGAACATATGGAAATAACTCTTGTTTGTAACTAAAGTGTGTTTTAAGGTTTATCAGTCCGTCCAGTCTGACCTGAGGAGGGTTTATATGTATCAACCAGGTGGTGTGACAGAAAGTAAAGATAAAGTGCTCACCCCCTTCACCTCCCTCAGGTCTCCTTTCACCAGGGAGTCCAGGAAGAAGTTGATGTTGTGGAGCATGCTCTTTAACTGACAACACACACACACACACACACACACACACACACACACAAATACAATTAAATAACTGTCACTGTCGACAAAAAATTTTAAAAAAAGATGCATAACGAGGGATAACACGAAGGATACTCTTCTTCAATTATGGCAGCTGTAGAGGAGGTTTCGTTGGATATTGGAGTGAACCAGTAAAGAGCTAGTTGGTTTTCAGTTCGAATTTTAGTAGACGAAGAGTAGACAATGCAACCTTGTCTTTAAGTAGAGAATTTTTAGCTATAGTTTGGAATGAACCAGTTAAGAAACCCCTTTTTTTTAAATCAAACATTACCCCAGTGGATGTTTTGAACGCAACAATTAAAATCCAATTGGTTTTAATCAGAAGTTTCCCCAGTTGCAGTTTGGAATGACCAGTTGAGACCGAATTAGTTTTTGGTTTAAGGGTTTCTCATGGAAGTTTGGGTTGGACTAGTTTAATCTAGTTAATTAATTAATGGATGTTTGGTAACACCAGCACTAGTCATTAAGTTTAAATTGGATGTTTTTCCAGTGGACCAGTTAAAATAAAGTCATCGTGGTTTCAGACTAAACTGGAGGCAGTGACTAATATCAGATGCAGGTGTTGTGACCTCAAGTGTAACCCTGTTAAAATAGTAATAAGAAATGCAACTACTAAGTTATGTCATCAAAGTAAAGTAACTTATTACATTTAATTACTTTTTGATCATATTTCTAACTAATTATACTGGGAGATAAAGCAGAACAGTCCTAAAAACGTAAGTGCAAACGCTTGCACTCAAATTTGTCCCAGCAGCTTTTCTGTCCTGAAATATGGCAAAAGACGACATTCCTGCGAACAGATGCAGTGCAATACATTGAGCATTATATTCTACATGTAAACTTTTTTTTTTTTTAAAATCTTTATTTATTTATTTATTTTGATAGGGATGATGCCATTTAACATAGTTCCAGCACAGAGTATGAGACTGATGTGTTGCACAGAGAGTTTATAGCCATTGCTAATTTTCAGCTCTCGTCTCTAGCTGGGGTTTTCACGTCGGTCTACAATGTTATGAAAAATGTAGTTTTAAACATCATAAAATCACAATACACTAACCACTATAACCCCTGTGTAATCACCAACTATTTGATTAGCGGATTAAATAATAATAAAATTGAATCACATATTTTTTCTCAGTGGCTGTAACTGATTACATTTATATTTATTTTGCAATTTAATAATATATTTCTGTCACATGTAACTAGTTGCTACCAAACACTGGTGACCTCTGACCTCTGTGACATCACACTGCTGTCACTGCTGACTCACCAGGTTCTTCATGGGAGAGAGGAGCTCTTTAGAAAAGTCTGCCAGTCGACAGAAAGCAGAGCCGACCTCCGACTCTCCATTTGAGTGACAGTTGACTGACAGCTTCTCCATCGAATTAATGTACTGCTCCAGATGAGTCACGTGTTCTGACAGAGAGAGGCGGTGTTAGTACAGGAAGTCACGCATGCGTGTGTGTGTGTGTGTGTGTGTGTGTGTGTGTGTACCTTGTCCAGCAGTGTATTTGGCTTTAGCAGCTTTCTTCATCTTCTGCAACACCAACCGGTCACTGTCCAAAACCTAAACACACACACACACACACACACACACACACACACACACACACATACATTTACTGTAACAGTTCATATATTCAATCCTCAGTGATGTTTTAACCATCAGTGTGTGAATCTGCTGAACATGTGTGTGTTGACGTAGCGGCACTAATTCACCTGCTGACTCAACACACACACAGAGGTCGAGCTTTGTTCTCTGACAACAGACAGCTACATTCCTCTGTGTGTGTGTGTGTGTGTGTGTGTGTGTGTGTGTGTGTGTGTGTGTCACTTTGCAGCGATATCTCTGTCTTTATTATTCCTGGATGCGTCAGACCACAGCGGACATTCTGACTCGTCACAGTGAAGCACAGGTGGTAATAAAAACTGTTACTAATAAAGTTCTATCCAAACGTCCCTGTTAGTCATGACAGCGTGACAGTGAGCCAACACACACATTAAACCAGGAGCCTGAATCCAGTCATTAATTTCATTATTTACACCTGTGATTCTCCGACTGCGACACGTCAAAATGTCTCCGGTGAGAAGGCCCCATTGTTGTCAGTGTTAGAATGAAATGATCAGAGCTGGTTGATTCATATTTTTTTGATTTTTGATTTTGTGTTTCTGATGTATTTATTTCACTATATTAACCTAAACAGACATTCTTCTCTTGGTGTTTTAGTCATTAACAGTTTCCTTTATAAATACACTGAACATTTACTGCATCCTTATATGACAGAAATGCATTGAAAGAAGCCAGTTGAGGTGGTTCAGGCATCTCCTGCTCCTGCACGCCTCTGTGTTGAGGTTTTCCTGGTACTTCCAATTAGAGGGAGACCCTGAGGTCGACCCACCACACGGTAAAGAGATTACATATCTTGTCTGGTTTGGTAACGCCTCAGGGGCAGTTAGAAAACGTTGCTAGAGACAGCGATGTCTGCTGCCCCTGCGAACCGGCCCCAGATAAAGCAGCAGAAAATGGTTGATATGATTTTATCTGTATTGCCTGCTCCACTTTAAAACATCAGGGGGTCAATTTATCAACCGAGCACACACACAGTCCTGTGTTTAAACCATGTGAATCTGATTTATCAATTTCACAAGGACCCCACTGGTACTTCAGTACAATGGCAGATAAAATCAATTTCTAAATTAGATTGTAATTTAAAACAGATTGCAAATTAGCATATTTTTTCATTTTCATTGTGGACTTTTTCCCTCTGGTTCGAGTATAAAAGAAAAACATATCTGGCTTATTTAATTTAATAGCACTTAAATGGTACAAAAACACAGATTGATTACAACTGAACAGATGTTTTATGGAGCCTCAGGTTCTCATTGATGCAGAGAAATAAGACAAAAAAATAGTATAACTGCACCCCTAAAATTGACTGGATTGATTTACAAAAAAAAGGACATAAACTTCAAGAGCGATATTTGACATCCATCATGCTGACATCTGTCTGTTTGTATCCAATATGTCTATTTTGTTTATTGCAGTTCTTTATTTGACCATCAGCTAAAATTAAATCATTGTTACCTCTGCATGATGTATCTTTATCTATTTTTCTTTTAGGAAGTATGAATTATACCACGTGGTTGGCACTGTTGCCTCACAGCAAGAGAGCACCAGGTTCAAACCCACTGGCAGGTTGGGGCCCTGTTGTGTGGAGTTTGCATGTTCTCTTCTCTGGGTTCCCTGGCCTCTTCCCACAGTCCAAAGACATGCAGGCAAGGTTTTACACCCATAGGTGTGAATGTGAGCGTGAATAGTCATCTCGATAGCCCTTTTTACACAGAGACTGCACTATGTGGCCATAATAAAGTCTCTTCTTCACGCCGCCTCTGCATTTTAACAAATAACCAAATAACAGCGGCCTCATTCTGCTCCAGTGTGTGATTAAAGACTGCATGCCGGCATTGTGAAATAAAAAGAGGCGTGACAGGCATCGCATGTGCCTCTAGTGTGACATATAACACATTTGTTGGCAGCATTTTATGAACAATAACAATGGCATTAACATGGTAATAACAATAATTTACCATCCCTGTTATATGGTGGCTGATCTCGTCCTCTGCTCTAAGGTCGCATTCACACTGGCACTATTTGGTCCGCTTTAAACAAACCTTGCTCCGCTTCCACAGATAGTTCGGTTTGTTTGGACTGGTGTGAATGCTCGTTCAAACCCGGATGCGGACCAAATGAGGGAACCCTGGTCCGCTTGAAAACTGGGGGTCTCGGTTCACTTGCAAGTGAACCCTGGTGTGATTCGCTTACAGTGGGAAATGCAAACGGACTATCCAGCGAACCAAAGACAGGAAGTGACGTAGAGCGTAGTGCATTTTGGGTAGAAAAAAAACAAAGCCAACAGCACGAACTGGGAGAAGCAGAGGTAAAAAAAAAAAGAAAAGAAAAAGTTGGGAAATGTCTCGTGGGTAGAGGTGGAGTAGTGAGGAGGTGCAGGCACTTATGATATATGGTCAGAGGACTATATATCGCAGTTGCTTGTGGCTACCCACAATCTATTTCCGTTTCGGTCCTGGCCAATCAATAAGCCAGGTTTTCTTCTTCCTAATGCTTTTTTTCGTCCTGGTCAGTGGTCGTTTCGGGCAATACCGCCCCCAAACGAGCAGCTATCCTGGTGGGAATGCTCCCTTTTCCCTTTTTGTGGACCTTTTTGGCCGCTGTTCTTCTTTGAGTTAGCTGCTAACTGCTGCAAGCTGCTTTTGAAGCTCCCACAGTGGGTTGCACGCCTAACTCATTGTCAAAAATCACACCCATGCCGACTATAATCCCTTCCTGCCTGCTGTGCAGTTTGCACTGACGTCATTTCGGCACTGTTACCACCTACGCTGCAAGCTTAAAAAGGAGACAACTCTGTCTGCCCATTTCGGAATTGTACCTTTTATACAGAACAGCGAGGCAGAATAACACTGGGAAATTTCCTCCTTGAAGAGGCAGTGTAAAAGTGCTGTGTGTACCCTGCCCCTTGCTTAGGTGGGATATGCTCCAGCAACCCACAAGAGGATAACCAGTTATGGATAATAAAACAATCGATCAAGCATTTAAAACGTTTAGTTGAATTTCATGTAGTTCTATGTTACTTTTCAGCTTGGAAAAAACACCTCATCTCTCAGTCTAACCACATTTCCTCATAATAACTGACTGAAAATCAGCAGATGAAGTGAAACATAAAATGAGACCTGCGCCCCTAAATCCTTTAACCCCGCTGCATGCTGGGAAGCCTTCCTACACACCTGCTTCACTGCATCAGTATCCTCACCTCCTTCTGGAGGCGTCTCTGTTTGTAAATGAGTCTGTTTGTGCAGATGGATATAGAACAGGTGAGATCTATGACTGTTCCCTGTGTAAAGGTGTGAGTGTGCATGTTTGATTAAAAAAACAAAAAAAAAAACAGCTCTTGTCTTATTACAGATAGTTCCTTCCCACACTCGCACACGCCTGCACAAACAGACACACTTGTTCTTTGCATGTTTTGATAAACGAGGACTGTGGGATCAGAACAAATCTTAATCAGGAAACTGGAACCACAGAACACACATACTGGATCCACCCACTCCAGTTCACTGTGTGCTTTCATGTGACACAAACAGGGTGTAAGTGTAAAAACTTTTCTCATAATGAGTTCTAATTTCCAACTTTCTAGCCTCCCCATGAACACAGCATCAGCCTCAGTGTGCAGGTTGCAGCTTGACTCACATCATCATTAATAATCATCTCTCAGGCTCCTCCTCATTACCATTACACAACAATAACAATAACAATGAATACTAATAAGGATTGATCTGTTGCCATGGTAACATATGCCGACTCTGTTGGGGGTAAAGGGGGATAAGAGAAAAGGGGGGAGCTTGAGTCTCTGTTTTTCAGGCCAGTTGAGGATCTGAAGTCTTCGGGTCAATAACTCCACTGACCGAGAGTGTGTGTGTGTGTGTGTGTGTGTGTGTGTGTGTGTGTGTGTGTGTGTGTGTGTGTGTTGGGGGGTTTGCTACCCACTGGTCTTAAGGGGCCCCACCACCCAAACACACACAGAAATGCACACACACAGCAGCAGAGCAACTTGATAAAAAACATTACATGATTAATTGATTTGTAGATGATATCAGATATTATTTGTCAGATTGTTATACGACTGTTGTGATAATTGATTCATTGTTGGACTGTTGGTTGAATAAAATAAGATGTGTTAAGACGTCACCTTGGACTCTGGTGAGGCTGGATTAACATGTGAGAAACCCCAGAGGCAAAAATCAGCGTGAAGCGACTCAGAGTGGGAACTCTGTGCTTACTGGCGGAAAATTCTCAGAGTGACGCAAAATACGCTAAAACTTTTAGGCCCGTGAAGAAAAACATTTGAATTAACTTTATTTTTAATAATTTGACAAGCACTAACTTGTGATGTGTGGAGCTTTGCATTGTTTGTCTTGTGTTTTCTCTTTTGTGTAATGTAATATCATGATATTGGGCTTTATCTCTGTCCTGACCTGCTGAGGGACTGCAGATGCAAATTAGCTCTCAGCTATTTTAAACTGTTCATGGTCCCTTTAAAGTAACATAAAAAAACAAAACAAGACTTAGGAAACTTGGATCTCTGCTGATGTTTAAGAGAGCGGTACCATGTTCAGAGTTATTATGTTCATTCATGACAATGAGGTGAATAAAAGATACCCTTTTGACAAAAAAATATTTTCACTCACTTTGTGCGAGATGTAAAAGTGAGATCAGGCACACAAAACAAAATCTTTGCGACATTGCAGCAATAGTGAGAATTTACTTAAAACATTAAAATTTATGTATACACACTTATCCTGTAAGGGGTTGTGGGGGCCTGGAGCCTCTCCCAGCTAATATTGGGCGAGAGGTGGACAGGTCACCAGACTATCACAGAGCTGACACATTGAGACAGACAACCATTCACACTCACATTCACAATTTAGAGTCACCAGTTAACGGAGCTTTGGATGGTGAGGGCCCGAGTACCTGCAGAAAAAACCCAGACTTACGCAGGGGGAACATACAAACTCCACACAGAAGGGCTGCTCCACCCTGGGTTTGAACCAGCAACCCTGAGCTCTGTGCCGCCTGATGCAAATTAGCAGAATATCAACACATTTTCTATAAGTCAGGCTTGAAAATGATTTTGATTTTCTTTTTTTTTTTTAAATTGAGTGTAACTGTTACATGTTTTATGTCTGCAACTCTCCTGAAGCCTCCTTAAGGAATCTGATCCCGATTGATTTGGCGGTGGGAACCTCTTGCGACCGCATCCCTTTGCTGACGTCGACCCCAGCATTTCATTTCATTTAAATACAATTAAATTAAGTGCTGGCAATTGCACTGATTTTAATCTAGACAATCTATACATAGTGCACAGAGAGGGGAACATGGGGGCCCAGCAGCTCATTCTTGCCCCAGGGCCCCAGAGCAGTTTGGTCCGGCCCTGATGTCAGAGGAACAAGCACAGCTCATTCATCAGAACCAGTGAAACCTCCACCAGCCCACTACTACTACTACTACTACTACTACTACCACCCCACCCCCTGTGTCTGCACTGACCTCCTCCAGCAGGTAGACGGTGTTCCTGCAGCTGATCATCTTGGAGGTGAAGGAGGAGGTGGTGGGGGAGCTCCAGTCCTCCTGAACCTCCTGCAAAAACTCGGAAACCGACACGCACTCGGGCATGGTGCTCCTCAACCCGGGACACACCGTGACCACCCGGGGCAGGACCGGAGCAGGTTAAATGAGGTCCGGGACTGACGGATCAATGCCACACAAAAGAGCGAGGAAACCAGGCGGAAGACCTGTTTTAATAAATAATAAAATAATATTAATTATAAACCCTCTGTGCAGAGGTGAATAATCCCATCAGCCTGTTTAAACACTCCCACAGAAAGCTTATGATTAACGGGCTGATAAAACGGTAATTAGAGACCTGATCCGGTGAATGCTCCGTCAGTGTGACTTCACGGTGAACCGCAGCATCAGCCGCTGTTTCCTCCAAACAAAAGGTGATCAGATCCGGCAGGAAATAAACCACAGCTGCAGAGAGACCACAGAAACCCGAGGATTAAAACAGTCCCGTGTCTGTAACGTGATAAAACCACCGACTCTCCTCCCGGTAGAGCCGCTTCATTCAGAGAAAAACCTCCCAACCCGCCCGGTCTGTTGGTGTGTGAACCTGCTCACAAAGAGCGGAGGAGCTGAGCGGGGAACCGGACCCCCCGGACACCGGGACCGGGTTCAGATGAGGTAACCAAACCGGGATCTGCTCTCCGCTCCGGGACCAGCTTCATGTCTTTTCATCATCAGCTGATTTTTTTCCTGCTTTTTTTTTCTTCTTTATTCAAACCGCATGGAGAGGCGCGTTCACGGTGCGCGGCGGCGGGGCTCTCTGCCGCGGGGGCGCGCACTGCTGACCGAGCACAGAGGTAGACTGTAAACCCCATTATACACCGCTGTGTCTATTCATTTATTATTTATGTCAGAGCTGCCGAGAGTGAGGTGAAACAGGTTTCTGCTGTAATTAAAGTTTTTAAGGGCACTTTGATTTTTTATTTCCTTTAGACTATTAAAAAAAAATAAATACAAGGAAAAACACTAAAAAAAGGACTACCATAATTTGAAAATCTGTATTTATGGTTATATTAAGATACTCTTAAGTTTTACAATGATTCAATGAAAGAAAAATAATATTTAATTAATTTATTTTTTCCCTTGGTCATGCTAGGTACACCAGGTGCTTTGAGCTAAATGCTAACATGCTGATGTTAAAGGGGAACACCAACTAAATTAAGAATTTCTGTTATTTCTATGGCCTATTAAAGTTCAATCAGTATTTGTGAACATGAGTTACTCTTTCTCAAAGCCAGACACCAGAGAAGTCTTACACTTGTGATGTCATCAAGTACATAGTCTGCAGCTGCTCCAAAAGGCCCAGACACATCAAACCAACTTTCCCGGCTGTGTTGCCTCATATTGCCGTGTCTCGGCCAAAAAGTTGAACATGAACACACCTCAAAGACTCTGTTGACGGCCAACTTTCTGGGAGGAAATAACTCTTCATACTAGCAGGTGGCTGTAGACTGTATTCGTCATTCAAAAAGGGAAACCAGAAAAACGTCTTGACGCTAGTTAGCCAGTTAGCACGTTAACAACACAATCCAATGCTGAAAGAAGAGAGTGTATTTACTGTGCGCCAGTGAACAATAACACAAACTATCACAAGCCGTTTCTTGTAAAGAGCTAAAGAAACAATTTTATCATAACAAGTTTGTTTTGATCTCACTCACCTTTGACTTTAGTTGTTTGTTTACTTTCCTCACTTCTGTGTCTCTTCTTGTGTGCTGAGCTGAACTGTCAGTCAGAGTGATTTCATTCACCAACAGGCTCTGCTGTCACCTACACCAATTAAACATACTGAACTGGAGGGAAATAAGTCAACTAGCACTGACTAGGGCCAATGGTGCAGGACACAGCAATGAGAGCTGACCGTCGGCTTGGTGTGTCAGGGTCTAAAGACAATGAATGGGAGTCTGATTTTGTGGACCCATAAAATGTTTGTTTTCTTTTTCGTACTTAAATGACCTTTATTCTGTTGTCATGTTCTCAGTTCCGAAACAGAAATGTGTTTGAGACATTAATGTCTCAAACACATTTCACAGCAAAACAATAAATAGTTGTTGGGACATGGCACTAAAAAATCACAAATATGAATCTCGTGGTGGCGCTAGAGGAAAAGTCAGAGGATCACCAAAGTCAGTTAAGTTCATCCTCTGGGGACGATGAATGTCTGTGCTAAATTTCATGACAATCTATCAAATTGTTTTTTGAGACATTTTAGTCTGGACCACATCAGGTAAAAGAACCACCCTTGCTGTCTGAGAGCAGTTGACTTTTGTTTGGCACAAATTGAACATCATACTGGTCGTCTGACTTCACTTCCCTTCTGGACTCCAGGGCCAAAATCAGCATTTGTCTCGACATGATCCAACATCATCAGAGTCTCAGAGGACACAATCAGAGTCAGCGTCTGTAATCAAACCGTTTCTCACTTCCTGTTGATCCCCCTGCTGACGAGGACAAAGTCTGATGGCTGAGTCCTGATTTGTATTTCACTCCCCTCACCTTCGTCAGTCAAACTGTTTTCTCATCATCACATTTTATCATCTCAACAGTTTCCTGCAGAGTCTCAGAGTCACTTCCGGTGGTCGCCTATATTTTCTGCCTCATGACGACAAGCTCGGACTCCACGCACAGACATCTTGTTATCCACTGAACAGGTTTCCATGACATTTCCTGATCACGTTCCTGCTCCCCAGAGGATGACCCTTTAAATTTTAATCACCCCTTTAAGCTCCACCCTCAGGACAAACTCTACAATTTCAGAGCAGCTAAATCATCAGGAAGTTGTTTGTTCATTTTGTGGTTGTAATGAAAAAAACACTGCTGTCTCCAGAGGATGCTAACTCTGAACGAGGGCCATAATTTATAGGGTGGAAACAGGCGATATGTCCCCTGCACTTTGTCAGTGGGCAACCCCTCAACTTTTTACAGTCCAAAAACAAACGTCATATTAAAAAAAGGCAGGAATGTTGTAACAGTTTATATCTGCATGCGTATGAATGCAATATCTATTTCATTAACAGCATGGCTTGTGTGTTAGAGCACACGACCATATTGCTAACCTGTAACTGCATGTTTTAACATTTTATTAAGACCTACATAATGACAATTGTATTTTATTTATGTTTACTTTTCTATTACTGTAAATGGCTTCTGTTTTACCTTGACAACTTTGTTTGCTGTAGTTAATGCTCTTTATGTCTCTATGCTGTCTTTGTCCTCTGAATTTTATCCTTTTATTGGTTTCAACACATCTTGCCAAAGGACCACAGTTGAAAATGAGCCAGCTGACTAACACTGGCATATCTACAGAAATGTTGATTGATGTGCGTTGTCCTTATAAATACAATATATTAAATAAATGGAGAGTATAAAACGAGAATAACTTGAAAACTAGAAAGAATTTCAAAAGAGCTCGTAGTGTCCAGTTTAAACATTGTAAGAGGAGATACATTTTGAAATCTTGAGCTCCGTAGAATTTAATGAAATTATTTATGAAATATCTCAATAAATTTAAGAAAAAATTATGAGATTAAAACAGTTTATTTTCACATGCTAATGCATCTTACTTGTGATTTTACACATTTTACATTATTGCACTGTCTTTATTGTTTTTGTGCAGCGCTTCCTGATCAATGTGACGTGTATTTTACCTGAAGTAAACAGTAACTTTACTTAAAAACAAGGTCTGTGTGAAATTTGACAACATGATTTTTAGAAACCTCGAGACTCTAGTCTTAGATAATAAATAGAAATTTTGATATTTATATTGCTTTGAGGTGTAAGGCAGATATGAGGGAACTAAATCCAAACAATAGGTCAAAAAATACATGAAATTAGATAGCTATTTGGGATCAGCAGGTCCCGATAAGTATAAAAAACTAAACATTGCCAGTGCTAATTAAGTCCCAATGTTCTCAAACGAGTCGATATCAAATTGATATTGATATCATCAGATTATTGCTGTTGCTGAAATTGGTCAAATTTGTTGCCATATCAAACTACAAACATCCTTAATCATAAATAAACAAGTTTCAATCATGAAATATGATCAGGTTTAGGACCTTGTCCACTTTTGTGTTGGGTGTGGCTGCAGACTGACTTGGCAGAGATGGCTTCCATCTTGTTTCTCACATGAATGAGTGTATTGTGCTCTTACTACCACTAGATGGCGTATTAGAGTGTCCACGAATGAGGACAACAGGTCTAAGTTAAGCAGAATGAAGTATAAGGTCGAGTAAACCTAAAATGTGATGTCCTTACATGAGGACACAGGGTCTCAGGAGGATATTGATTTTTTTCATCATCTTTTGTGGTTAAAAAATGTTTCTCTTATGGACATATGAAAATTGTGAAAAAACTTGGTTGTGTGGCTTATTTTATTAATTACAGTTTTTTCAAATAATAATTTAACCAAATGTTTTTTAATAGTCTGTTCACTTCCTGTGACTGATATTAATATTTATTTACTTATTTACTCAGAAATAACTTCTAACATTCAGATTGAGTAAACTGGTACAAATGAGAATATCAATGCAAAATTCAACAAAAAATATTAATAAACATATTATTTATTTTTATTAATTCACTTTCCAAATATAAAATTTGCAACCACATTTATATTTAATCAACAAAATTACACTTTCATACAATAGAGTTATGTTTATGTTTTGGTGCTGATTCATCCGTCAGATTTGTGTTTATCCACAAATCCTTCCAGCGCTGCTCGACGTGTTTAATTTACAGAATATAAATATGTGACTTAAATCTGCAGTAATCATCCAGTAATTTCCTCTGGTGAATCCAACAGTAAAACCAAACCTCTGATTTTTGCTCCCATGATCCAAGTTGTGTTTATATACATGAGGATGCTGGGTAATGTAGTGCAGTCAGTGTACACTTATTAAATCACAAGTTTTACTGATCAGACTAAATATGACATGAGTTCAGGATCAGAAACCTGATACAGTCTGTGACATCCAGGAGGAGGTGAGGAAGACTCCCTGCAGGTTTCTTCATCCTTTGACGATGAGGGTGGAGATCTGCTGCGGCAGTGTGTAGATGATGAGGGCGAGGAAGAGCGTGAGGATGGCGAGGATGGCCAGAGCGATGATGAACTTCTTGAACTTCTTCCAGATGAGGAAAATGAAGGTCTTCATCGGGTTGACGAACCAGTTGAAGCTGGTAGAGGGACGACTGGAGGGAGGACAGAAGATGGTTTATACATGTGTAAACCCAGACCTATGATTAAAGGTCTGCTCGCACAAGCATTTACTGTTTAAAAACAGTAGTTTATCAGCTAGTGCAGCAGTGAGGCCTACGTCAATAACAAACATATATTTTGCGAGCAGGTGTGAATGAATTTAGATGTGCCACTGTCTGGTGTGTGGAGGCCTTAACTTAGTAACTTTTCATGTCAGGACAAAACAATTGTGAGCATATCCTTAGCACGTGTACTAACAGGAACTAAGAAACGTGATCATATTTCTCCTGTTTTAGCTTCTCTGCACTGGCTCCCTGTAAAATCCAGAATTGAAATTAAAATCCTACTGTTAACTTATAAAGCTCTAAATGGTCAAGCTCCGTCATATCTTAGAGAGATCATAGTGCCATATTATCCCACCAGAACTCTGCGCTCTGAGAACGCAGGGTTACTCGTGGTCCCTAAAGTCTCCAAAAGTAGATCAGGAGCCAGAGCCTTCAGCTATCAGGCTCCTCTCCTGTGGAATCATCTTCCTGTTACGGTCCGGGAGGCAGACACCGTCTCCACATTTAAGACTAGACTTAAGACTTTCCTCTTTGATAAAGCTTATAGTTAGGGCTGGCTCAGACTTGCCTTGTACCAGCCCCTAGTTAGGCTGACTTAGGCCTAGTCTGCCGGGGGACCCCCTATAATACACCGGGCACCTTCTCTCCTTCTCTCTCTCTCTTGTGTCCTATTACTGCATCTTGCTAACCCGGCCATTCTGGATGTCACTAACTCGGCTTCTTCTGCAGAGCCTTTGTGCTCCACTGTCTCTCAGGTTAACTCATATCGCAGCGGTGCCTGGATAGTGTGACGTGTGTGGTTGTGCTGCTGCCGTGGTCCTGCCAGATGCCTCCTGCTGCTGCTGTTATCATTAGTCATACACACATACTATCAGATATTAATATATTATTATTGATTATAATATTATTACTTTAATTAATGTTGTTGTAAGCTACTGTCATTACCGTCTGTCCTGCATCTCTCTCTGTCTGTCTCTCTCTCTCTGTCTCATTGTGTCATACAGTTTACTGTTAATTTATTATGTTGATCTGTTCTGTACGACATCTATTGCTCGTCTGTCCGTCCTGGAAGAGGGATCCCTCCTCAGTTGCTCTTCCTGAGGTTTCTACCGTTTTTTCCCCGTTAAAGGGTTTTTTTGGGGAGTTTTTCCTTATCCACTGTGAGGGTCCTAAGGACAGAGGGATGTCGTATGCTGTAAAGCCCTGTGAGGCAAATTGTGATTTGTGATATTGGGCTTTATAAATAAAATTGATTGATTGAAACTGATCCTTCAACTGTGTGTGTATGTGTGTGTGTGTGTGTGTGTGTGTGTGTGTGTGTGTGTCATACTTTGGTTTGTCCAGAGGCTCCGGCTCCTTGCGTCCCCGCCCCACTGGGTTGGCCTCTGCGTGTTCTAACGTCACCAGCTGTAGCTCCGCCTCCACCTTTCCCTACACACACACACACACACACGCACACACACAGTTTCAGTGTTAAACCAAGTATTCAAATTAGTGATTCGAATTAGTGTTTAACATTAGCATGAAAATGAAGCTGTTATTCAAATAATGATCAGCATGAAGAAATAAAGGTTTTGTAAAACAAACAGAAGAGGGTGAAATTACCTGTAGGCCTACTCAAACACCTCTAAGGGTACATTTATTATAATGTACATTTACATAGCATTAATTCCATCAGTAAAACAAAGAATGGACTTGCACTTGTACAGCACCTTTCCAGTTTTTTGACCAGCAAAGCACTTTTAGACTGCATGTCACACTGATCTTCTGATAAATGGATGACCAGCTCTCCCTCCTGAGCCTCAGCCACCCCAAAAAGAGTTATGTCATATTCACAAATCTGAGTTAAACACTAATTCTATTCTCACTCACTAATTATTTCCAGTCTCTACTTTGACTTTATTTTCTTATGATCGCTGTTAAGCCAAAGTCAGTATATTAAATATTAAAATCATACTGAAAGCCTGTGAAAGCCTGTACAGAGTGTAACATTACAATCAACTTTTTTTTGTTTTCCAAAGATGAATGTAAGGTTTTGTATATACATTGTCTGTGGCGATATATCAATCATATTACAGATATAAGTGTTGTGGTTATAATATATAAACAGCCTCAGGTACCACCCTGATGAAGGCAAGACAGTCAAAAATGTTTGGTGAACAAAGTGCAATGTACCAGAGAAGAGCTGTGCTATTTAATTTTGAAGGACTTTCACTGACGCAAAGAAACTGTCATATTAAAATCCGACCAGGAAAAAGAGATATTATCTTCTTTCAGCTGTTGGATGTATTTTTATGACTTCCATTCAAAAATAAAAAAGTAATGTAACAACGACATTGACGCTGTAAATCCCCCGAGATAATCAGCTTATTTTAAAACTGACGTCTCTAATTTCCCCTCCTCATCCCATCCCTCCCAAACTCAAACACAGAAACAAGAGGGGCTGTAAATAATCAGCCAGAGTGTCGTAGGTGTGGTTTTTAGCTTCACTTTGTAGTTACTGTAGAATAATGCATTTCTATGGAATAATCATCTTTTACATGGTAAAATAAATGTCATAAAGTCAGATTCAGATTTTAAATGTAAATTTGCAGCCTCCTTTCTTTGTCGGCCAGTGTTAGCATTATCTATGTACTGGGCTTTTTTTGGTACCATTAGTAGGTAAGTGTTGCCAAGGCTGTCGGTGTACTGGATGTCCTCTTCTCTCATCTTGCTCCTCTTGTCCTTCTTTTTCTTCTTCTTTCCCTTCTTCTTGGCCTCCTCCTTCTCCTTCTCCTCCTTCTCGAAGTCCTCGGCCGTCTTCAGACGAGTCAGCGGCCACCAGCCCTTCATCTTCTTGGCACGGAAGATGGAGAATCGAGGGTTGGCTCGATCCTTCGCCATCTGAATCGTACACTTCGTGGAGGACTTTGCAGCTCGCACCATGTCATTGAGGCGTAACTCTATGGAGCCTGAAGGAGGAAGAACAAACGAAAGATGATGAGGATTAACTGACTGAGGCAATGTCGGCTCAGCGCCGTTTGATTAACAGCAATTTAAAAAACAATGTAGCAAAGATTGCATAAAATAATGGACGTAGCCACCTCGATGTCATCCATTGGTTTGTGGTCTCCCATTTTGAAGCCTTTCAGTTCAACCAATGGTTACTTTACCTAACACAAGTTGTCACCATGGTAGCAATTTGTCAACCTACCTGTCAATCAAAGTGCCCATGTCCTTAATTGTGTGTAACTTTAAGTTTTAATAACATTTAAACAGGTGAGTTATATAAAAATTCTCACCCAGGAAGTCGTTGGCAAGGATGCGGTCGTAGTCCCAGACCTGCAGCGTCAGAACAGCTGGCTGTCTAAACTCTGACTCCTCCAGAGAGAAAATGGACTCCTTCTTCTTAAACACCACCTCTTTCTAAGAGACAAGAGGAGGAGATTTATTCTCACTAAGAACCACACTGATTGCTCGCGCCCCCTGGAGGCTACAGTGTTCATTACAGCCACAATATCAAAATGTTTTTCTAGAAATGTTAAGTTTGACCTGAGGGTGGCACTACAGGAAAGATCATAAAATCTAAAGGGTTTATCCTCTGGAAAGCAGGAAAATAATCAGGATAGTACACAATGGTCCGTCGAGAGGTAAATGAGATATCTGTGGACCGAAGTTTATCAATCATATGTGTACCTCAGTAGGCAGGTAGTCGAAGCGGAACACAAATCTCCAGTTGAAGTTTCCTTCTCCAGTCAGAGAGTTGAAGTGGACGTCAGTCTCCTGTTTTTCTCCTTCTAGTCCTTTTATCCATCTGTGCAGAGATCATGATGAAACACTGAGCTGTCATAGCCAAGGTAACCAGATTTATCTTGTCTGCATCAATCAGTCAGTTTTATTAGTCACATGAAATCAGACAGTGAGGCAGAGTCCTCATTTAGGACCCTAGAAGACGTGTGTGTGTCTATGCTTGTGAATCTGACCCTTTGACGTAGATGTCGGACGATGGGACACCGGTGAACGGGTTGACATCATCCAGAAACACGTCGTCAGTGTTCCAGATGATAACACGTAGCTCATACCTGTCACCATGGAAACAACAAAAAAAGTTACACATTGTGATCCCTTCTCTATTCTGTTTAACTCTACTGTACATGATAGATTCTACTCGACTCCACTGTAGTTGGTAGATTTTATTCAAATCTACTGTATATAATATCCAAGTCCACTGTATTCAATAGATTCCATTCAACTCTACTGTTCTTAATAGATTGTATTTGACTCTATTGTACACGATAGATTCTATCTGACTCCAGTGTACTCAATAGATTCTATTTAACTCTACTGTACATGATAGATTCTATTTAACTCTACTGTACATGATAGATTCTATTTAACTCTACTGTACATGATAGATTCTATTTGACTCCACTGAAGCTGATAGATTATTTTCAAATCCACTGTACTACATAGATTCTATTTAATTCCACTGTAGACAATATTTAAGTCCACTGTACTCGATAGATTCCATTCAACTCTACTTTACTCAGTAGATTGTATTTGACTCTATTGTACTCAATAGATTCTATTTGACTCCATTGTTCTCGATAGATTCAATGACTACTGTACTCAATAGATTCAATATGACTCCACTGTACTTAATAGATTCTATTCAACCTTACTGTACCCAATAAATTCCATTCAACTCTATTGTACTTGATAGATTCTTTGACTCTACTGTACTCGATAGATTCTATCAGACTTAACTGTGCCTGAAAGATTCTATTCTATTCTACTGTACTCAATAGATTCAATATGACTCCATTGTACTCAATAGATTCTATTCACCTCTACTGTACTCGATATATTCTATTTGACTCCATTGTACTTGATAGATTCTATTCAACCTTACTGTACCCAATAAATTCCATTCAACTCTACTGTACTTGATAGATTCTTTGACTCTACTGTATTCGATAGATTCTATTGGACTCAACTGTGCCTGAAAGATTCTATTCTATTCTACTGTATTCGATAGATTTTATTCGACTCTACTATACTTAATAGATTCTATATGACTCCACTGTACTCAATAGATTCCATTCGACTTGATAGACTCTATTTGACCCTACCGCCCTCGATAAATTCCATTCAGCTCTACAGTACTGAATAGATACTATTCGACTCTACTGTATTCAATAGATTCTATATGACTCCACTGTACTCAATAGATTCCATTTGACTTGATAGACTCTATTTGACCCTACCGCCCTCAATAAATTCCATTCAGCTCTACAGTACTGAATAGATACTATTCGACTCTACTGTATTCAATAGATTCTATCTGACTCTACTGAACTCGATAGATTCTATCTGACTCTATTGTGCTAAATAGATTCTATGTGACTCTACTGTACTCGACAGTGTTGACCTACTGTTCAGGTAGGCGTGGCTTGATGTCAACAGGGGGTGGAGCCGGCACATCATTTGGAAACATGTCAACCCACATATGAACGTAACCCTGGAACACACACACACACACACACACACACACACACACACTGCTGATGACATGTATTAACACCAGTCTCAGTATGTTACTGTCGTTATGACTGTCTGTCCTGTAGTTACTGTTTGTGTTGTGGTTACCTGTGGCAGTCCAGGTTTGTCCTGGTTCAGCAGGGACCGGATCTCCACATGCTCTGGGACCAGAGGAAGGGCTCCAGGGAGGAACTCGTTCATCTCCCCCCAGCGCCGCAGCACGCTCAGGGCTGCGTGTTCCTCCATCTCTGCCTCCTCCTGTGGAGTCCGCTGGTTCTTCTTCAGCAGATCTGACAACAACAACACGTCTGTTTAATACAGGGCTGTTACTGCTGATAGTCTTGTTGTTAGAGCCAATACAGCGGGAGGTTGCTACAGTACGAGGGGAGCAGCAGTAGGACTATTGTGTCAGTAGTAGGAGCAGCAATACAGCTTAATTTGTGGTTGTGGTGATTAGTCGAACATGTGGTGGTGACAATATTAATAGTGGTTCATGAGTCCATAGAGGGACAATTATGGACTGTTTAGTTCTACTTTGTACACAATTTTCATATGTAAAGACACCTCAGATTATTTAATCCCTTACTTAAAGGGAAATTTTGGTTTATTTCAACCCATCTCCTATCGTCCTAAATTTGTTTCAAGTCACTAGTGACACAGAAATAATAGTTAGCATGTTAGCTGTTAGCCTAGATACAGCCGTAGCGTCAGACCTGTTAAAACGTAATTGAACGGGCATCCTTTCAAGTGCAAAGTTAGTCCACTAAACAAGCTTTTTCTCCAAAAAGACCGCCTCATATCATTAGGATAAATGTCAGAGAACATATAGAAAACGACATGTAAACGTGTTGTCTTACCTTACTGGTGTGGTGCCATGTTTGTTTACCATTTAGCTAAGGCTGCAACCGGTCCCATTCCTTGCAACAGTGGCATTCCTCTTCTGTGGGCACTGGGGCACAGCATTCACAGGTAACGTTACATCACCAATCTCCAGAGCTACGCAGCCTTCCAGCAGCCATTCCTCCTCTGTCGTCCTTTACCTGTTGTGCCTCTCTCTCTCTCTCCTCCTCCGTTCTTCAATTTCATGAAGCTCTTCGTCAGTGTATTCTGGCTCAAATAAATAAGGGCGGCCATAAAACTCTGCAAAATCAAATTCCTCCTCCACAAAGTCGAAGTCTGGCAAGAAGTCAGCCATTATTCTATAAATCTTTCATAAAATAAATGAATGAACCTTTCAGGTTACTGTCCGGTTCTGCCTTGCAGCAGCTGCGGCTTGTTCTCGCAAGATTTCAGGTACGGTATGACATCTATTTGAGCCAGAATACACTGACGAAGAGCTTCGTGAAATTGAAGAACGGAGGAGGAGAGAGAGAGGCACAACAGGTAGAGGATAAGAGAGGAGGAATGGCTGCTGCAAGGCTGCGTAGCTCTGAAGATTGGTGGTGTACCTGTGAATGCTGTGCCCCAGTGCCCACAGAAGAGGAATGCCTCTGTTGCAAGGAATGGGACCGGTTGCAGCCTTAGCTAAATGGTAAACAACAAACATGGCACCACACCAGTAAGGTAAGACAACACGTTTACATGACGTTTTCTATATGTTCTCTGACATTTATCCTAACGATATGAGGCGGTCTTTGTGGAAAAAAGCTTGTTTAGTGGACTAACTTTGCACTTGAAAGGATGCCCGTTTAATTACGTTTTAACAGGTCTGACGCTACAGCTGTATCTAGGCTAACGGCTAACATGCTAACTATTATTTCTAAGTCACTAGGGACTTGAAACAAATTTAGGACGATAGGAGACGGGTTGAAATAAACCGGAATTTCCCTTTAATGACCTACTGCACCTGGCTAAGTCTGTCTTCTTGTCTGTCTGACTGTCTGTCCTACCTTCAGGTATTGCATCAGGTGGGATCTTGAAGATTTTGTTGAGGACTTTGACCTCAGATGTTCTATACTCCGGTAACGAGATGCCGTTCTTCCTGCAGAGCTCTGCCAAAATGGTTGATGGTTTCTTCGCATCACGCCACACATTGTAACCTTCACTGCAGAGGAAAGTAAAGGCACACACAGATATGCAGGTACACATTTAGAGAGACAGGTACTCCATTGACGAAGTTCGTAACCCAGACAGTGGCTATACCGATGTGTTGTAGTGCTACTGATGTATTGGTTATGGTACTAAATTGTCGTAATACTAGCTTTAACTTGCCATAGTACTGTTGCCAATCTGTTCCAGTTCTGGTACTAACATGCCATAATTCTGGTACTTACAAGTCATTGTACAGGTACTAATGTTTCTTGGTTTCGGTACTCAAGTGTCTTAAAAGTGGTTCTAACATGTTCTAGTACTGTTTATAATATGTGTGAGTTGTAATGTGTTTTAGTTCTGGTACTAACATGCCACAGTTTAGGCACTAACATATTTTAGTTTTAGTACTACTGTGTCATAGCACAAGTACTAATTTCTTCTGGTTTTGGTACTAATAAGTCCTCCTACTGAAACTATGGTATCACAGTCCTAGTTCTAACATGTCACCTTATTGATACTAATGTTATTGCAGTAGCATGTCATAGTTCTTGTTCTAAAATGTCACACTGTTTCACAACATAGTTGTAGTACTAATGTCATAGATTTGGTAGTAACATACTGAGGTTTTTGATACTATTGTGTGGTAGTACTTATGTATTGTAGCTTTGGTACTGATATGTTCTACTAATTGTACTGTCTGGGTTCTTGTTTCATACACCGTATCACATTTTGTATACCAACATGTCATCATACAGGTTCTAACATGTCATAGTTCTGGTACTCTAATGTTCCATAGTTGTGGTACCACTGTGTTGTAGTACTGGTTGTAACATGTTGTACTTTTGGTGATTGCGTGTCAGTTGTGGTACTAACGTGTCATAGTAAAGAGCCAGACCGCAGGAGGCTCTGTGGCGGCTGTAGAACCGGTTCTCCAGATCAAGTCGGGTCTCACCGATGACGTCATCAGACCCTATTATATCATGGTCCATCACTCTGACAACCAACTCCGTCTCCAGTGGAAAGGACACTGTGAATTCAAACATCCTGAAAGACAGTGTCAGACATACAGACAATCAGACAAACAATGGACAAACAGAGAGGGTTGGACAGGTGCAGGTTGACAGACAGGTACTGACTCTCCAAACGTGGGGTTGAGCTGTTTGGGGATATATCGATCTTGGGTGTCCAAACTTTGCTCTCCAGCTTGAACCACCAGATACGGGTCAGCTTTACCATTCGGGTCTGTGGGAGCCAGATTGGTGGCCTGCAGGATACAGACAGAGACAGTCAAACACACAGCAGAACTCACAGTACACTCTTAGAAATGAGGGTTTCAAAAGGCTCCTTCCTAAAGGGCTTAGGTACTACCTTAAACCAGAGAAACCTTATTTTAAAGAAAGGGTTCTTTGAGGGTTCTTTGTAAAAAAAAACAACCTTTTTATACAAAGAGCCCTTTTTGGAAGAAAGAGTTCTTTGAGGATTGTTGAAAGCATGGTTTTTTTTTTTGTTTTTTTGTTTTTTTTACCAGTACTCTGCACTTGGCATTCAGTATTCAAATCTCATCTGGAACCCCTAAAATGTGATTGTAAACCCAACACATTCTCACTCTGACCTTTGGTCATGGACCTTCCACGTCCAGATACGACATGCAAGGTGGTACCCTTGGTGCATTGGTTGTTGATTTTCTGGGACGCCATGTCAAGTTCTGCTTGTTACATACATTATCTTTTTTCAAAATACACTTCTGTTTTAACGGGAAATGTAATGTTTAGATACAGTCTCTTTCAAAATTGTTATTTGGTCTCGAGATGGGACACTAATGGTAAAGATTTCCCTAAATTTTGCACCCTGATTTTATTTACACATGGCCTCATGCAAGAAATGTTCCTGAACATTTCAGGGATAGACTGCATGTGTGAAAGGGGCTTCAGTTAACCCATAATGCAACTGTAGGCAGGGACACTGTGAGAAGCAAAGCGTGAATTTGGTTGTTTACTGCATGAAAATGGTTGTTGTTTAGCAGCTAAGTGTTATATCTATGACGTCAGAGCATGCTTTAATCTATTATCAGTTTAAAGTCAGTGTAAAGAATATGTTGTAAAATGTTTAAACGTGTCAGTGAGTAAGACACATAGGCAGGCTGTGGATGGACAGAGGGACAGGTACCTTGATGACGTAGACTCGGATCAAGACTTTGATCGCTGAGTTTTTGGGGAGTCCATTGGTGATCTGACATGTGGTGTCTTCTTCATCTCTTGCATCGATCGGATAAATCAGGAAGGAGCCCTGGGGATGGAGAGTGTGGGATAATGGACACTTTTCTGCAGACAGACAGACAGACAGACAAACAGACAGACAGACAGATCATCCACAGTACCTTATATTTTCCCATCAGCCTCTCCTCTTCATCCTCCTCATCATCTTCAATGCTTGCTCTGCCTTTATACAGCGGGAATATGTGCAGCCAGTCCTGAAACTGACTGAACTCTGACTCCAGATCACCTCCGTACAGCTGAACACACAAACAGAGGCAAAATTAAAAAACAAAAAACAAACAACAACAACAACAACATACAAACAGCGCAGTGCCAGTTCAAAACACGCTTGTTTGGAACAGGTCGAGTGTTCGGTCTGTACTGCTGCTTGCAGCTTTCTTGAAAACAGCTCATCCAAACTCAACTGCTACAGCTCAACACACACAACACTGCTTCTTTGGGCCCCAAACAGCAATAGCTATAATATGATGTTTACATGTGAAAAATAATGTGAAAAAAGTTGGAAAAATATAAGCAACTCAAAGGTATACTACATACTTACAGTGTACTTTTACCTAAAAGATAAAACATTGTAGGCCTACAACTACTTGTCTTGTTATGCAGCTGGCCTGTATGAGCAGCAGAAATTGGATTGATTTGATGGGTTTAGGTTGACTTTCTCAATTCTTCCCTTGTTTACAAGTACCAGAGACACACTACACAACAAATTCAATGTTCTTGTATTGTTGACATCAGTGCAGCCCTGAACTGACAGACTGGACTGTGTCAATCACAGTGACCTCTCACCTGTAGTGTGGCAATGCTCTTGCGTTTGGGAGGCTCAGTCTCCACGACCACAATCTCCTCCTCCTCCTCTTCGATATTCGCCATAGTCAGATTCGCTGCATCTGAACAAAAAAGAAAACAACAGTATTAACACTAACAGATGCAACCCTGTTAACATAGGTAAGTCTTGAGTTTTCCTTTAAAAATATCCACACTCTCTGCTGCCCTCAGATCCTCTGGCAGGCTGTTCCACAGACGTGGGCCATAATAAGAAAAGGACGCCTCACTATGGGTTTTAGTTCTAACTTCTGGAATAATTAACAGTCTGATAGGGCTGATAGGTTAAAAGCAATTCTGATAAATAAGAGGGACCAAGACCATTAAGAACTTTAAAAACTAATAAAAGAATCTTAAAATCAATTCTGAAGCTAACAGGAAGCCAATGCAGAGACTCTAGGATGGGAGTAACGTGTGCTCTATTTCTGGTCCTCATCAGAACTCGAGTGGCTGCATTTTGAACTCGTTGTAATGGTATAATGGTCTTCTTAGGAAGACCAGAAAGAAGAGCATTACAATAATCAATTCTACAGGTGATAAAAGCATGCACTAGAGTCTCTGCATTGGCATTAGAGAGAAACGGCCTGACTGGAAATGTTTTTCAAATGATAAAATCCTGTTTTTGTTATATTCTTAATGTGGGGCTCAAAACTGAAGTCAGCATCAATTATTTCTCCAAGATTTTTTACTTTTTGACATGATTCCAGAGCCAATGTTAGTAGTTTTGTATGCAGTTTCTCTCTCTGTGCTTCAGACCCAATAACTAAAAATTCTGTTTTGTCCTGGTTGAGCTGTAGAAAATTCTCTGCTATCCAGCACTTAATATCTAAAATACAGCTAAAAAGTGCACCAAGTGGCTTTGGGTCATCATGAGACACAGCAATATATAGCTGTGTATCATCAGCATAACTATGAAATTGTATGCCGTGCCTCCTGATGACCCCTCCAAGTGGCAGCATGTAAAGATTAAAAAATACTGGACCTAAAATCGAACCTTGGGGAACTCCCCAGTCCATTTTATAGCATTTGGAGGAGCAGTCATCAATGCCAAAATAAAATTCCCTGTTTAAAAGATATGATTCAAACCAGTTAAGAACAGTGCCATTGTCCTCATTGCCCATAAATGTTTTTTGTTTTTCTCACCATGTTACTGCCAAAATCTGCTGATTCTGAAATCCTGCCCTCAGACTGACATGAGAAGAACGTAAATGATATTTTGTGAGCTGAACTTCTGTAAAAACTAAAAACTGTAATGACTTTTTATTTGCAGAGATCACACCATAGGACCACTACAAAGTCCTTTCTTGATGCCGCCTTTGCATTTTTACACAGATCCAAACAACAGCGTCATCTTTCTGCTCTAGTGTGTGATTTTAAATAATGTGCAGGAGTTGTGGTTTCAAAAGAGGCGGGATGGGTGTAACATAAACAGTGTCAGACTCTAGTGTGACATAAGGTATGTGTCTGCAGTGCTTTATGAACAAAAACAGTGGCAAAACATTTACTGTCCCTGTTGTATGGCGGCTGATATCGTCTTCTGCTCAGAGGGTAAGCAGCTCCTGGGCCTCATTGTTTTCCCAGTTTGCGGACATTATCGCCTGCTGTTCTGTCTTTTTGAGTTAGCCGCTAAATCTTCAGTGATGGGTCGCACACATGTCAACAAAACGTCACACCCATGACGCCCATGATCTCAACCTCCTGGCTGTCCCATTTGTACAGGCATGTTTTGGCGCTGTTACTACCTCCATTTCTGTCTCAAAGGCGATACAGCTCAGTCCTCACATTTCATGACCGTACGTTTTATACAGAACAGCGATGTGGAATAGTGACGCAGTGCCCTGAACAGGCAGTGTGAAAGGGGCTATAGTTTTATCACAGCAGCATCTAGTGGACATTAGAGGAACTGCAGCTGAATGCACCTAAACTCTGACTTGTATCAGCTCTATGTGTTGCTGCTCTAAAATAAATTTCAATCATAAATAATTTCGTATTTTTATTTAATGGATAAATATGGTTAAAAACCCATCATTATGACTGACAAAGAAGGAGTTAAAACTTTACCTGTCTCTGCTTGTTCCTCCAGCTCCTCCTCCTCCTCCTCAGCAGCCTGCAGACAGACAACACATCAGATATGTGAGTAAAGAACTGATAAATCAATTACTTTAATGCTAAATGTGTAAGTTAACACATATTGAAAGGATGTGGTGTGGAATGATGTCTCATATCCCTAATTCTGCTGCAGTGATTCTTATTTTGTCTTGCTCATTTTTGGAAAAGTTCGAAAACAAGAGAAACAATAGAAACACATTGCGTTAACACACGCAAAAAAAGGAAACCTTTTCCTCATGATTATAACTGTAATAAGTGCAAGTTTGCAATTGTAAATAAAGATAACAGGGACAGATAAAAAAAACGGTCAAAATCTAAGTTATACATCAAGATGTTGGTCTTTAATATCCTACATTTCCCATAGTGCAACTGAAAAGCGTCCTTCATGAGACCGTTCCAGCCAGTAAAACACCCACATATTTCTAACTTCAAACCTCCAGTTAGTAATGCAAACTTTCGTTTATAGATTTCTTTCCACCCTCATGGAAATTATGACATTATAGTTATTTCCTCCTCCAGAGACACAGAAGACATCATACAACTGCTTTGACATGCTGTGTAGGTCGGACATTGACCAGTAAACTGATCTTCATGTGTAAAATCTGTGGATAGACCCTTTAATCAGATTTTATTTTTTTAACAGGTAAATCAACGTCTCACCTTTCTCTCCATCTCCTCCAGTGAAGCGTAGTATTTGGACCACCAATCCAACTCCTCCTTCTCAGGCGGCTCCTCTTCTAGTTCCTCACCCATCTTCATCAGCTTCTTCAGAGGAGCCTGGTGGAGTTTAAGTGTAAACAGTAATTCACTCTTTAATCATTTGTGGCTGAAATCTGGTTTAAATTTGTCTCAAAAAGTTTTAAACACACAGAGGACGAGACCACTGTACATACATCAACCAGTTTGATGGGGTTGATGGGAATCTTTGTCTGTGTAACTGACAGGCCGCTGAGTCCCAAACGCTTCACTGACATCAGAGCATCAACAGTCTTCGGAGTCTGCTTCACTGGAGAGACACAAAGAGAAACTGTGTCTGTAGAAACTTTAAGAGAGAAGTAAACTGTGAATCCCACAGAGCACAGCTGTGAAATACATCCTGTCACAGAGCTCTTGTTGTGTGTCTGACAGTAAAGTTAGAGATTTTTCTTTGTAAAACACAATGGATACATTCAGAAATTTGAATCAATTCATGTTTGGATTTAAGCAAATGTTGGACAGGGCTGCAAAATTAAAATATTATTGAAATTGCAGTACAACCAAGTGTGATATCCAAATGCAAACCATTGTGATGCTACAGAGATGCTCCTTCCTTCAAATCATATTTCAGATGTATCATCATTATCATCATCATTTTTATATTTTTTTCAATGAAAATTAAATGCAAAAATCACCATTCCCCCTAAAATCATGACTCACATCACCATCGCACTATATTTGCCATGAGTTTTTTTGCATATTGTGCAACTTTAATATTGAAACAGTTCATCCCAGAGAAATGACCATACTAACACCTTACAATATATATTGTCACCCATTGGTTTGTAGACTGCTGTTTTGAAACCTCGAGTTCTGCATTTCAGTCATCACCATCTTGGTTTTTTGGAACCAGAAGTGACCATATTTGGGTGAGAGGTTAAAGCTGTGGAGGCACGAGGGATGGATCTGACGTCATAGACTATAGCGCCGCCTTACAGACAGCCTGTTACTCAAAGCAGCCCCACCCTTAAATATACGTAACTTTGGGCCTTGATACAATGTAGACTGGTGAGTTATATAAAAAAATCACTCTTGCGTACTGTTGTCATGATTGTTGAAAATAGCTATAGAGACCAAAACTGTTTTGTTTTTTTGTTTTTCTTATACCATGCTAATATATTAATTCTGTTGCTCAGTGGTGCATGAAGCCAAAATGGTTCGACTGCTGCGATTTACATTACCTGAATGATTTTAGGATTATTGGCACTACTTCCGCCAAGCACGGCCAAGTGGCTAAATTCCGCCGGCCGAATGGATAACTGCCAGATTAGCGCACCGCTATCTTGAATGGGAATAAAGTTATTTTATCATGTGGCTCTTCTAGACTTTCAAAAAGGGAAAAGTTGTTTTGGGCCCAATGGCATCACGTGACAGACCATAAAAATTGCTGTACCATTGTTTGGCCACAATGAAAATTGGCTTCAAAGCCTAGCGACATTCTGGGGGCCTGGGGGAGACGGGTGAAGGTTGTCTGAGGTCTATATTGCGTTCTAGTGTGGATGGAGACATTTTGTAAAATGAAGGTTGTATGGACAGATTTTTTTTTTAAACAGAGGGGGAAAATATCTATTATGAAAAATATCCATATTAGTGTGGACACAGCCTCAAAGGCATTTTCAAAAATCTCCCTTACCTGTCTGAATGTTGCAATGTTTTCAATACAAATAACTACAACTATCTAGAAGACACTACTACTGTGAATATTACTCCATCACTTCTTTCATAGCTCTAACCTTTTGGTTTTGGCTCATCATCTTCCTCATCTTCATCCTCCCCAGGTTTTCGCGGGCCGTAGTCCATGAGACTCTGGACCACATGAGTCCCGACCAGAGCAAGCCGACCGAACGCCCGATGCTCCACCACAAACAATGTCAGAGGAGGGTGGAGGTAGGCCTGCTCTGGCAGCTCCTGATTGGACCAAACACAGGAGGAGGAAACGGGAAAACAGGAAAGAGAAGGTTAGCCATCTCTCTTCTCCGTATGAATGAATGGATACACCAGGTGCTTGTTTAAGACCTTAACCGATGTTAGTAACCATCACTACGACTGACTGACCACGTCCATGTAGCCGACCAGCTCTTTGAAGTTGCCGTGAGAGCTGTAGCTCTCCATCTCTTCAGAATCCAGTTGTTTTCCTGCACACTCCACCCTCACCAGGGGACGCTCCACCTCAAACAGGTGCACCCGCTTCAGCTCCCGCAGACCCCAGAACAGCACCTGAACACACACATACAAAAACCATTGACTGTAAAAATGATGGACATAGCTACTGTGACCTCACCCACTGGTTTGTAGACTCGAGTTTTGAAGCCTCAAGTATTTTGGCCGTTGCCATGTTGGTTTTCTTGGACCAGAGGTGACCATATTTGGGGGAGAGGCTGGCGCTATGGAGGAACTGGGGGGGGTGTCTGACTGTCAAGCCAAGGACACTCGCTTGGCCCTTAATTATGTGTCATTTCAGGCCTTTATAAAAAAAAATGTAAACGAGTGAGGTATATGAAAATCCTGTACATTTGTCATGTAGGGGGAAATTACCTATACAGACCAAAACTGTTTTTGTACCAGGCGGTAAACATGTTTATTTCTGCTGTAAAGTTGGGCAGTTTAACATGAAGCCAGCCTCAAGTGGCCATTAGAGGAACTGCAGTTTTTGACACTTTGGCGTTGGCTTTATTTTTCAGCCCCAGAGGTTGCTGCTTGACAAAACCACACAGGAAGGATCAGTTACCTCACCGATCCAACAGCCTGAAGTATATGTGTGTGCATTTTTGTGTGTGTGTGTGTGTGCGTGTGTAACCTCGATCCTGAAGGTCTTCAGAACAGGTCGGACTCCTTCTGGGATGATGTAGCAGCTCTCCTCCTCCACGTAGGTCAGCTCCTGAGGGTCCACACTGCTGGGGATGCAGGGCTGCGGGGGGTGATATGGTATTCTGGTTCACTGTCTAGAATTAATTCATGTGTACTTTGTTTTTGTAACATTTGTTCAAGGATCATCCAGTAAATTATGGACAGTAAAGATGGACAAACAGAGAGACTGATTGATTGGCAGGTTTCACCTCTCCAAACCCAGAGTAGTCCAGCTCGATGAGCTCAAAGGCAGCCAACAGCTCGCCAGCAGGGTGTCTGCCCATGCTGATGTCAAAGAAATGGAGGCGGGGCTTCTGGTAGTACCGCTCCACAAATTTAATCTCCGGCTCTGCAAATGCCCGACCCAGAGGCCTCACAGCGCCCTGCACACATGTAAACACACACACAAGCTGTTATGACATCACTTCCTGAATGTGCAGAGACAGCAGCAGATTGTGGAGAAGACAAAGAATGTCAGTGTTACCATGGAGTTGTAGTCGTAGACGGTGATGGTGATGAGGGGCGGGTCTTGTTGGAGCTCCTCCCTAGTTCCCTCCATCAGGACTCTGTCAAACAACAAACACTCGCTCCAGGCCGGAGAGAGAGTTTCATATAACACCTGCACACACACACACACACACACACACACACACACAGAATGCGTTTTAAAATGTGTGTGCTAAAGGGGCACTGCAACAATTTTACAAATATAATTCAGTTAACTGGTCATGGTGAGTCCTACGTGTGAAAACAGTTGTATAATATTCTCGAAGAAGAAGACATACTTTATTGATCCCTGAGGGGAAATTCAGTGTTGCACTGTTGTCATATACACACAGGCCTGAAATACACACACATGCACAAACAGGACCTATACATGCATTAAATGGAGAGATGTCAAAATGGGGGAGCTGCCTGTGGACAAGCGCCCCAAGCAGCTGGCGGTTTGGTGTCTTGCCCAAGGGCACCTCAGCAGTGCTGAGGTGAACTGGCACCTCCATATTTAGTCCGGATGGGGACTTGAGCTGACGACCCTCCAGTCCCCAACTCAAGTCCCTATCAGAAATCCTGCATACAAACTGGAGTGTGGAGTTTGAAAAAGTCCAGGCAGAAAGGGTTTAAAGAGAGATGCTATCCCATTGCATCATGGGAAATGTACAGTCCATCTGTGTTAGGAGCTTGTCCCATATTAGAAATTAAAATTCAGGACATCTGAGTACCTGCCCGGACGAGACACTCTAACACTATAGCGAGCACGCCCGCAGGGAGGCAGGGATCATTTCATTGGTCAACATGAACCTGGCGTTCTATTGGTTGGGGGATTTTGACAGGGTTGTGAGACAAAAAAATCCAAGAGCAGGGCAGAAATCTGAGAGCAGAAATTCCACGAGCCCAAGCAGAGGCTATTTGAGTGCGAGGGCAGGGTTTTGAGGGACAATATTACAAAATCTGAACATGAAATCAATAAACAATGCTCTCAAATTGATATACCACTCTCCTGAATAAAGATAGGAAAAAAGCTCCATAGATTTGTTCTATTGATGTCTTGGATCAGGTCGAAGCTTGTGAATTGTCAGAATTTAAAATTCAGTGCACTCATTCATTGAAGAATTATTTATAACCTTGTAACCAGCGAGATAGGTGAATACCTACCCTGGTGACCTGGCACTGTGTAGAGAAGACGACCTTGAGGAAAGGATCTGATAAGCCGTTATCATCAGCAGCCATCAGGCCACGCCCCTGGTACAGGTGACATCGTAGCTGGAAGTACCTGCTGTCTGCAGAGAGAGGAAGAGAGGGAGGTCTGCCTTCACCTGACCAGGCCAAACAAACTGCTGCTGAGTCCAGGTTGACAAGTCAACATAAAACCAATCACTGGGCTTTTATTTTGAAGAACAAACTTTTCTCCATTCATCCTAACATCAGACATTAAGTCCAGAGCAATTATCCTGTGCAGAAGCCAGGCCCCCGCTGACTCACCTTGGCAGGACAGACTGACAGGAAGCTTCCTCTTCCCCCCAGGTACCAGCCTCCTCTGCTGCTCCTCCTCCTCCTCCTCCTCATAGACTGGTAAAAACTCGTCCGGCAAGCAGCCGGTGGCTTCTTTATTATACTTAGCCAGACCAAGCCACAGGTAGACCTCCAGCTTCGCAAAGATCTCACTTGCTGAACCTCCTGGAGACTGGACAGACAGACAGACAGACAGACAGACAGACAGACAGACAGTCTCGACAGTTATCGATGATTTTAGAGTCAGAACAGTGAGCATCATCAATGATTTTAGAGAAACAACGTTAAGTCTCATTGATTATTTTACAGAAAGAACAGTGAGCACCATTGATGATATAAGAAACAGAACTGTCTGCGTCATCGGCCATTTTAGAGAGAGAACGGTGAGCATCACCTGTTATTTTTTAAATTTTTAAAAAAAAATTAAATACTTTATTAATCCCCCTGAGGGAAAATTTAATTTTAGTGACAGACAGGTGATCGTCATCGACCATTTCAGAGAAAGAATGGTGAGTGTCATCAGTGATTTTAGAGAAAGAATAGTAAGCATCATTGATAATTATAGAAATGGACATTGGACAATGTTAAAACGATTACCTTCATGTATAGGGTGGTCACTCTGCCACAGTCTCGCCCTCTCTGCTCCTCCACCAATGAGAAGAGGATGGAGTAGGCAGGAATCCTGACATAAGCCAATCGCTTGCTTCCACTCAGTAACCATAGAAACACATCAGGAATAGTAGTCTGGGGCTGGAGTGAGGGTGGTGTGAGGGAGAGGGTGTCAGACCTCAGAAATACTGAACAAACTGCAACCTTTGACGTTTTTGTGGTGACCTATGGTGACCTCTCTGTGACCTCTGACCTCTATAGCAAGTAGGCGGAGTTTCCGCAGGAGTTTCCTGCTGTCCATCAACCGCTGTTTGACCGTCCGCCTGGTGACCCTTCGCCTAGCTCTCACCGCCTGTCTGGCCACAAAAACCTGGAGAGAGGCAGACATTTTAGTCAGACAGACAGACAGTTAGACAGAACGGTAGACAGGTAGAAAGAGAGACAGGTAAGGGCCGACTCACCAAACTCTTCTTGATAAACTCCTTCCTGCATCTGTCCAGGTTATTGGGACGAGACTGAGACCTCCTGTCTGCGATAACACTAAATTGCCTGCAGAGAGACAGACAAGAGGACAGACAGAGAGATAGAAATGGGAATTAAACAAGTCTAAAATCAAACTAAATCTGTTCTTATTCAGTTTTCAGAAGGAGAAGACTGACTTGCAGGAGGCCACCAGCTCCAGCAGCACCTCCACCAAACGCTCCTTTGCGTTACTCTTCGGCCTCCTCAACAGACGGTCCACCTCATCAAGGCCAATCTCCTAAAAGAAAAGTAGGGAGTAGAGGAGAGGATGAAATGTGACCTCAGTTTCTTTAGACATTATGTGACACACATTATGTCATTCCTCTCTATGTGTTAATAACTTGACTCACCAGCCTGTCGGCTGTCTTGTTGAGCCAGTTTGCCTGATAGAGACGAAAGCTGTGATCTTCAAACTGACTCCAGATAAACAGACAAGGCTTCTGTTTCTCAGAGGGAGGTTGGAGAGGAATACAGTGGAACGACCTGAGAGGCAGACGGACAGTTGGAGAGACGTAGACATTCAAGCAGATAGATAGTGAGTGGGCAGTGTTTGTGTAGTAGTTACTTGGTCAAGAATCACCACCCAATCATGGTCAGTGAACTGCACTTACATACAGTAGCGCTTTTATGCAAAGTACTTTATAATTTCACTTCACACACACAAACACACATCGATGGCAGCAAGCCACCATGCAAGGTACTGGCCTTACAATCAGGAGCAATTGGGATTCAGTGGGTTGCTTAGGGTACACCAGGAAGGGATCAAACCACCAAATCTAAGAGCCGCTCTACCTGTGAAGCATCAGCTATGAATGGGTTTGTGTGTCCCTGTGACTGTGGGAGCTGTGTTGATGGGTTCTGGTAGGTTCTACAAAGGCAAACTGGTGCTAACTGTATCCATCTAACATCTACAAATCAGGATCTGTAGATGATGTCTGATAGAGTGTTTGGATGACGAATTCTGGGGCCACCTCCTGGATCCTGGCCTGGGAGCTCCCCTACCCTCACCTCAAGGGTGAAATTGAATCTCATCAGGGGTTGGAGACATAGAAACGAAGTAGGTCACGTTCAAAGATTCAATTGCAGAGGCAGCTGCTCAACAGGAAAGAAAGCCGTCAAGGGTTATCAGGAAGCCAGAAGGGCTGCAACCTCAGTAGGTGCAGAAGCAAAAGCTCGGGTGTGGGAGGAGTTCAGGAAGGACAAATTGTCCAATGACTCAGAAAGGGAACAGAGCTTAGTTCTTAAGAAAGAAGACCCTGATTGGGGATATTGTTGGGCAGGGAAGGAATGCTTTGAGGAGCTGCTAAACCTTAATGACATACAGTCTGTGGAGGAGGCAGGGTTAAAAGAAATGAAAGGAAGTCTTACTGCTGCCCATGGTAGTCTCCAGTTCCAAAATACACTGGAGAGATTATCTGACCTAGGTAAGTTTTGGGATCGCCCTTAGTCCTTTTCCACCAACACAGAACAGGCTCCATTACATTTCACGCACCTGACTTTGAATCGTTCGGAGCATTTTGACAGAAAATAAATTGGTTTGGAAGTTGAAAAGTTGGCTCCCAGCTGGAACCAAGATATTGCAGGTTTTCCGTGACCTGAAGTGTGAACCGTGATGATCAGAGGATGAAGTCTTGCACGTAATAGTCCTCTACGTTTTCTTATAATAGGTATAATTATATGTTTATATATAATTACATGTATCTTATTTGGCCATCTTCCACCTGCAGTATTAGAAGTAGGTGCAGTAGTAATCTGTGTCGGCGCAGGTGTTACTTACCTGTCGTACTCGGTGGGTTGGGGTCTCATGACAGCAGACACAGATCTGATCTCAGGTTCGGGACTCAGCACCTCCTCTCTGTCCAGCTCTTCCTCTGACTCCAGCAGACTCTGAGCCTCTTCATTTAGATTCTCCCTGCTCCTCCGCAGTTCGTCCCTGCTCCTCCTCAGCTCGTCTTTGCTCTGGCCTTTCTTGGATCTCCCGACCCCTACGGCCTTTCCATAATTCCCTGCCAGAAACAGAACAGCTGATGGAGCTCAGGGGTTTGATGTTGTTAAAAAAATGATGCATCTGAACCTCAGGTAGTCAAAGGGTCTGGCTCAGCAGCAGTCTATAACAGAGTCCTGCATGGGTCTGATTTCCAAGACCCTATACTGCGTCAGCACTGCAACAGGCAATACTATACTCAACCCACCACCTGCACATATAGCCAATTTGCAACCGCAAATCCTATAATGACTGTGCACTGCTCAAATAATTCTGTTAGGCAACATGTTAAAAGGGATCATTTTGGACATCTCATACATGTGAAACTAAGATAATATAGTTTAAAACGAAGATTAATCCGAATAATTGTTAGTTGCAGCCCTAGTACAGATATCCAGGAAACAGAACACACTGTTTACCTATGGAGAGTTCAAAGGACATCGGTCTGGTTCCTACAGACGGGTCCATCATAGTGATCTCAAACAGTGATGCGAACAACAGAAACTCCTCCCTTTGTCCCAGGAAACCCTGAGGACAGAAAACAAGAGGAAAAGTCAGAGAGCTGCAGGAAGTCACTCCATTATCTTCCTGGAACACCTCCTCATCTGCAACTCTGTCTTACGGAGTGAAGTTCTGTTGTGGCTCCTCTTTTGTTGCCTTGTATTGTATATCCTGACACTGGAGAGGATAATAAGTAGTTTTAAAGGTATTTCTTTTCACCTATATGCAGATGATATACAATTATACATTAGGGAGGAGAATTTACAAAGAAACAACGAAAGGCAGGAAAAGCACATGGACTTCACATGGCCCAAACATCACACTGTATTCTTTGATTTAAAAAGAAATCATGATAAAAATAAAGTTATACAAAGTTGAATATTTAATATCACAGACACAACCAAGAAACAGTTTGTTTAAAATCGCTTATTGATGATGATGGTGGTGTTGGTGGTGGCTGCACTGACCTCAGGGAGTGGGTGGATCTCCTCGACCTCCACGGTAACTGACTCTGGTACCTCAACTCCCGCCTCTCCTGAATCGTCGCCGGTTCCGCTGGCAGCCACGGATGCTACCGTGACAACAAGAAAATAAACGTGACTGTTTCTGCTCACAGGATTTATTCACTCTGCGCTTCTTCAGATGATGAACCACCAGACGTCTCTGACATTTGTACATAGCATCATTTCAACGTTTCAACATGATGAACAAATGATGATAGGAAACTACACCCTCTCCTTTAAAGTTTAGTTGCTCATTTCTCCTGCTTCTCCTCAGTACACTGACCTTCCCTATTCTTCTCCTTCTTGCTGCTCCTCTTCTTCCTCAGTCCCAGTTTCCCCAGCGCTCCCTTCATCTTCAAGGAAGCACAGGAAGTCACATTAGATTGGTGACATTATCTGAGAAAGTTGCTGAGATCAGCTGAGTATCATTAAAGTCACATAAGATTTTTTTTTTTTTTTAGATATTCTGGTTTCCAGTGTTGGAAAGTAACTAAGTACATTTACTCAATGCTGTACTTTAGTACACATTTTGAGGTGCTTAACTTTTACTTGAGTATTTCCATTTTCTGCTTCTTTATACTTCTACTACACAACATCTCAAAGGAAATATTGTACTTTTTCCTGCACTACATTCAGACTAATAATACAAAATATATTCAACAAATAAATCATAATTCAGCATTATAGGTTAATATAGGACCTTTTCCAGAAGGGAAATTCATAAATACACAGCAGTATATAAGTATATATAAGTAAAACATGATTTACCACCTGCAACATTAAAGTAATGAACAAATGAATGCATCAATAACTATAATTCAACTGGTACTTTAAGTGAATTTTATTTATTTAAATGTTATTTTTGCTACTTGTGCAAGATACAGGAAGTAGGAAGTAACCTTTCCCAAAGCTGCAGAGGCCGCATCTTGAGTGACGGCAGCAGGGGAGGAGTAAACCTCCACAGTGAGAGCGAGGAGGATTCGACCACGATAGAAGATTCCATGACCCAGACCCTGGTTCAAAGCCTGGAGGAGAAAAAGGATTAGTCAACTTCAGTCTGGAACAGTTTTTTTTTTTTTTTTTAACCCAGCAGACATTTTAAAAATAGGTTGTGGATTGAAACAAGGACCGCAAGGCAGGGTTACGATCAATGTTATGAGTGGAGCCTGCCAAAGCACAAACTTTAGATTCAATACGTGGGTCAGCCAGTTAACACTGGAAATGGTTTTGTCTCGTTGTGAATCTTTGGTCTGAACTGGGCTTCAAAGGTCCAGTGTGTAGGATTTAGTGGCAACTTGCGGTGAGGTTACAAAACTGAAACTTTTTCTCAGAAATATGATGGCTGAGGCGAAAACGAGAATGGCCCTATCTAGAGCCAGTGTGTGATTTGTCCATTCTGGGCTACTGTAAAAACAACATGGCGAACTCCATGAGAGAGGACCTGCTACATATGTAGATATAAATGGCCTAGTCTAAGGAATCGAAAACATAAGATTCTTATTTTCAGGTGATTGTAATATATATATATGAATCCTATGCACTGGACCTTTAACTTAATCAGGGGATGGTGGACAGATTTTGTTACCTTTGAACAAAGCCAGGCGAGCTGTTTCCCTGTTTCCAGTCTTCATGCTAAGCTAAGCTAACCATCTGCTGGCTGTTAGTCTTATATTTATCATACAGACATGAGTGGTATCAATCTTCTCTTTCAACTCTCAGAAAGAAAACAAATTAGTGGATTTCCCACAATGTCAGCTTATTGCTTTAAATGTCAGGTTTGGTTGTTTGGTCATGTCTGGTTTACCTGGTGGACGTCTCCGAGGGTGGAGTTCTGAGGAGAACCGTACAGGTTCACCCAACATGGACCGAAGGTGGGGTTGAACCCTGCAGACAGACACGTGTTTCCAGTAAATTCACTGATAAAAATTGGTGTTCAAATAAAGGCTAGCATTATTAAGTTGTTTCTATTGAAGGCTAAAAACATAAAATACACCACACATAATTTCAACAGCACAGATTCCATCAGTACAGCAACACATCCATGAGACTATTGCGTTTACAGCCTAACATTGGCTTTTTACTTCTGATGATTAAATTTACACTTCAAAAATCATAAAAGTGGTGTTCATCTGTGAAGATAATGTTGCTGAACAAAATGTGTAAGTTTCATAAACGTTTCTCTGTCACAAAGCTTATTTTCTGCAATAATCCAAAATCGAATGGAAAAATCCCAAACGCTCTCTGATGAGTGAGGGCAATGTTAACTTCCAAGTAGGCCTACAAATAAATGTCATCCCTGCAGCACTCTACTGATGGTAGCTTAACAGCAATCTAAAAAGATATGATCAAAATTATAAAACAGAAACTGATATAAGCCTGTCTCACTGAAAGTGGGGTCTGATGTGTAGTAGATTGCTATTAAAGAAAAAAAACAGCAACAAAAAAACAAACAAACAAAAAAGACACAGGTCATACCGTTCCTGGTGGGGTCAGAAATCTGCTGCAGGTCCAGGTAGTGTGTTGCTAGGGCGATGTCTCCCATCTTTGCATCATCAAGGACCTGGATTCTGATTCGCTGAGCCAGAGGAGGAAACTGCTCAATGAAGGAAATCTCCTCGTTCCAAACTGGAGAGCTGGTGGCGCTGGCGACCGATGTCTCCCCCTGCAGACACAGACACTCAGTACAATTAGAAAATTTCAGATTTGGCAACTCCTTGTTGTAGTATTAAAAGACAATTTGCATATTTTGACCAAAGAGTATCAAGAAGGGGTGTCGGTGGCTTAGTGGTAGAGCAGGCGTTCCATGTACAAGGCTGTTGCCGCAGCGGCCCGGGTTCGACTCCAGCCTGTGGGCCCTTTGCTGCATGTCACTCCCTCTTTCTCTCCCCCCTTCACGCTTGTCTGTCCTATCAATTAAAGGCTAAAAATGCCCCAAAAAATATCTTAAAAAAAAAAAAGGGGTCAAGAAGTCAAGAACCAGAGGAAGTAAACTAATAACAAAAGGTCATCTTTGCTTATTTCTTTTTGTCTGTCCACCCTGAAGAACCCTAAAGATTAGATATCATAAAACTGTGTAGAATCTGACACTGTTGTTAAAGGGTAACTTCAGTATTTTCCAATATGGACCCCATAATTTGGTGCCTATGTGACTAATGAAGACAGCAATTTTTTAAATCAGATTGTATTGACGGAGAAACTGACTGCAGTGTTATCCCAGCAGGCTACTGAGCACCATCCATTTACATACACTGAAAGTGTTCGATTTTGCCACAAAGGTTGTTATTGTGTCTTACAACGTCTGAAAAGGATCACTACAGAGGTTGATGTTTTGAGGTTGATTTCAGGACTGTTCTCACCATCGCTAATTCCATCAGACTCCATTTACATGAGCAGTAACGTTAGCGTACATAAAGTCAACACATTTTTACATTGAACGCCCCCCACAGAACAGACCTTTTTGGTACCTGTGTATAGTACAGGGACTAAATTTATTTGCCAAATTCCCGAAAAGCTTCTTGGTGGGCTGCTGCCCCCTGGAGGAGACAATATGTCACAACATCTGTATATACACGTTTGATTACCTGTTGTCCAGCGAAGGTCACCTGCACATAGGGGTCAATAAAGACCGTCCGGTCAGTAACCTTTGACATCTTGGCCATCAGCCCCTCCTCCATGGTGGGCAGACCCTCGGCCCTGTAGACACGGACACGAAACCGAGCCCATGGACGCTCGACTGGCATACCACGAGGAAGCAGCAGGTTCCTGCAAGAAAAACATAACATCAGAGCCCTGAGCTAATCGAACCAGCCTCCTAAACTCACAGTAATGATGATGATTAATGTGACAGTATGTTGTGTTACTGACTTTTCTATGTCCTCACTGGCTCCGCTCGTGGAGGGTGGTGGCAGACTGGACATGCTCAGGGCATCTCCCCTCATCAGCACACTGAGGCTGGCCTTGACGTAACCCTTGATCCCAGACCTGGTGTCTGCCGGGTCGGTGAGAGGAGCCCACTTCTGGTAGAAGCGGTGGTCTGGAGAGGTCGCAGAGAGGTCAGTGAGTGCTGTACAGTGTGTTGATCAGAGTACTGCAGTGTGAGCAGAACTGGTACCTGGCTGGTTGAACACGGTGGAGATGTCAATCTTAAAGGTTCCGATGTGGGTCATCAGGAAGGCCAGAGTCCGCCTGTGGAACACCTGAGAGGACATGACAGTTACAGGTGTTCAGTTAGGCCACACCCACTGTTTCATGGTAACAGCAGTGGAAACAGAAGTGGAAAAAACAGTAGAACTGACCTTTATCTCTATGACTTTATCAAAGAGGATCTGTGGAGGCTCTTGAAACTCAAACTGGAAGTTCTGAAAGACAAGAAGAGGCAAACAGCTTGTACTCTACTCTACTCCACTGTATTCTACTGTATTATATTGTGTTTTATGGAGCTGTATTGTACTCCTCTCTGTATTACCTCATTGTAGAACGGGCAGTTGGTCGATTTCTGTGTATTGGTGTGTTTTTTCTGACCTCCGACTCTGATGAAAACTGCGGGGTTGATGTTCACTCCAACCAGCTTCTGAGCCTCCAGGATGTTCACATTCACCTGTGCACACACACACACACACACACCTCAGTGATGTATAAAAGGCGGATTGTCGAACCTCAGATTCAGCAGTCTTGGAACTCATTGTCTATCAGGCTGACAATGATACCCTTCGGGGGCCAATATTTCAGGTTAATCTGATGTAGCCTGTGGAAATCCGGGCCGAGACCTCCTCCTCTGCACACCACTCATTTCAGCTAATCTCTATAAACAGATATCTTCATATGAATGCTAATATATGTAACCGGGTCAATTATACACAAAGACAAATGTACATTTGTAAAATTAAGTATTATAATTACACAAAATTTGTTTCAGTCAGTCTCATGAGGAGGTGGAGAGGATGGTGGTTGTTGGATGGTGTGACACCTGAGAGAGACACCTGCCAAGCTGCAGACTACTCCAGATCGAGACCAACAACAAAGACCAACAGTTTTTATAAATATCTTCTGTTAATATTAAATGTGTGCACTTTTTAGTTGATACCATGTGTCTCCCATTTTTGTCACAGCCTATGAGCCAGGTCATGTCGGGTATGTTGTGGGGGCAGTAGGACCGCTGCTACAAGTCTTTGTATAACCAGAGTGAGAGTTGTGTTCATGTTCTCAGTGGGAAATATCTGTCTCTGTAGCTGGCACATGCTCCACTAACTGTGACTGTCTGTGTTTGCTGTTGTACAGGTAGTGTACAGTGGGTCTGAAGAGTTGTTTGTACTGTAACAGCTGCCTGCTGCTGCTGAAATTGAAGCTATGAGGGCAGTGAGACTGAACAGAAACAGTAAAGTACACCTGAACAATGAGCTGGAACTATAAAGCTCAGCAAAGTGGAGCGGAGCAGCAGAGTCAGGTTCATCACTAGAAGAAATGCCTCTCACATGAAGATCATTAAATATATAGATTATATCTGCTTTAATACTGGGTGTGCTGGAGTGATTCCACATCACCTCAGCATCCTCCGGGAGAAGTTGGAGGATTGTCTGGAGAAAAGGACGTCTGGGCCTGTTGCCACGGTAACATGGAGCCTACTTCGCGCTCAAAAATGGATGGATGAACTCACCTGGAAGCTCTGGACTTTGGGTGTCGCCGCAGCAACATTCCTGGACATCGGCCTGGAACGACTACACACACACACACACACACACACACACACACACACACACACGTTGTTGACAACAGATCATGAGCTGACAGAAGTCAGGTAAACAGACAAACAGTGAAGTAACCACACCTCAGCAGAGGAGTGAAGATGATGTCAGAGGCCTCCAAGTCCATCAGGTCATCATCAAAATCATCATCATCGTCATCGTCATCTTCATCCCCAGTCCGGACCAGGCTCCTTCCCAGACGCCGAGCCTCTTTCTCCAGCGGACCTGGGCGAGTGATGGTTGGCTGACTGACAGAGGAGAGACAGAGAGCAGTGAATAGTTTCCCCCAAAATACTCCAGGGTTCCAGGGGATGAGGAGAGGGTCATGTTTGGGTGTTCAGAGTAGAGTCCGATTGATGTTTGGGTGTGTCTGATATTATCTTTTCATAGATACATCAGTATGAGTATCTAGTATAAGAGAATGACTGTGTGAGTCATGTAACTTCCCTACCTCTCAGGGTCATTGAATCCTTCATTCCTGATGACGAGCCCTGAACTGAGGATGAAGGAAGAAAAACAAAATGACATGAGAGAAAAGAATAACTTGTTCAGACTGGTCAGAGCTCCTCCTGCTGGTCTGGAAATCTGCACTAATCTTCTGTAAATACATGAAACACTGAAACCCCCCGAGGGTTTGCTGTTTGTGGATTCTTTTCTCTTTTCTCACAGCTTGGTTAACAGTTTCCTCTGCTTCAAATCTTTGCGTCCTGGGGCCACTTTCACAAAGGTGGGTTTGACTATGGTTAGGTCAAACAAATATTCAGTCGTTGCAAAAAGCTGTCTACTTCTTGAATATTGTAAGTACTGTAGGACTAACTTAGCATGAATTCTGGGTATATTTATTAAGAATTCAGCAGTTTCAGGTCATTTTACTGGACAAATAAAGTGTGCCAATAGAAAAACATCCCAGTGTGCAGACCTGCAGCAGAGCTAAGATGCTGTGGTGTCATATCTTGGCAGGGTTCAGTGCTACTTCTTCTAAATTGTCAACAAAAACGTCACTGCTGCATACTTATCACTGTGGTCTCTGAAATCTCTTCTCTTTCCTTTTGCTCACGCTGCAACATTATTACAGAAACAAACATGATATTTTCTTAACCATAACCAGGTGTTTTTTGTACCTTAACATAACCACATGTTAACCCTAACTTTGTTGAAGTATAGAGTTTGTTGCATGATAAAGTACAGATGTTATATATACACTGTTGCAGAAATGTACAATGCCAAGATTTTTTCATGCGATTGGGTGGTGAATGAGACAACGGCCAATTCACATAATTTAAAACCCTAAATGCTCGATTGCCACAATGTGTGTCAAAAGTTCATACTCCTTCTTGTAGACATAACATTCTTGAATGTCAACACATACATAATACACATTTTTTGAGGTTCAGTGTTAATAAAACTTTTGGAGGATATCCTCACCACATTATCTCCAATGTTCACCACAAAAAACTCCATATATCTGCTTAGAAAACACAAAAGGATACTTCTCATAACTCCAGAACTTGCCTGAAAATAATCTCGTTTTTAAGTTTTCTTCACTATCAAAATGATCTAGTGAGAACTGTGTGTCAAGTCATTGGTACATCGCAATCAGGAACTGCTAATAGCTAATTCAGCATACTTTAAATGGTGCCAGTTTGCCAAAATATAAACAAATAGAGGCTAATATAGGCGTCAGTATTGGCTCCACAACATTGTTAGCAAACCACAAATTCTGACAATTTCTGAGTTAGCCGAGGGTGTCTAACTTTTTAGGCTTTAAGTCAGTCCTATCCAGCTCCTCCTGGGGGTCCCCGAGGCGTTCCCAGGCCAGATGAGATATGTAATCACTCCAGCATGTTCTGGATCTGCCCCGGGGCCTCCTACCAGTGGGATGTGCCTGAAACACCTCCAGCAGGAGGCGCCCAGGAGGCATCCTGATCAGATGCATGAACCACCTCAACTGACGCCTTTCAAAGTGAAGGAGCAGCAGCTCTACTCCGAGCTCCCTCCAGATGTCAAAGCTCCTTACCCTATCTCTAAGGCCAAACCCAGCCACCCCATGGTCGCTTGTATCCGCGACCTCATTCTTTCGGTCACTATCCAGAGCTCATGACCATAGGTGAGGGTTGGGACGTAGATGGACCAGTGAATCGAAAGCTTTGCCTTCTGGCTCAGCTCCCTCTTCACCACGACGGTCCAGCACAGCGCCGGCATCACTGCAGACTCTGTGCCGATCCATCTCACGCTTCATTCTACCTTCACTTATGAACAAGACCTTTACTTATTTTTAGCTGTCTAACTTTCATGAGACTAATCTCAGAGCAGAATTAGGACTGGTGTAACTCTACAGATCAGCCTAAAACATCTGTCATATGACTCTAGAGAAGGAGATGGGAACAAGAGGATTTAAAGAAATGGGTGCAAATGATTTAAAATAGTAACAGAAAGTGATCCTACTCATCCTGGTCTTCAACTCTGAGGAAGTCGACTCCATCCCAACCTCCTGCTGTTCCCTCAACTGGGTGATATCGAACGTCCAACTCGATGTAGATCTACAGAGAGAGAGGAGAACGCAAAGTGATGTCAACCAGCATCAGTGATCTCTGACACAACAGTGTGTGTGTGTTTGTTTGTGTCCTTACATCAGTCAGGCTGTAGTTGGCATCAGTGAGCGGTTCCCGTAGCAACAGCCTTCCCGCGGTAACAACATGCTGGAGACTGACAACCAGCTTACCGAGCAGTCTACACACACAAAGACACTTATTCTAAGTTACTCTGACATGAAAACAATGTTTTTGTGTGTATTTTGGTAGCGTGTGTGTGTGTGTGTGTGTGTGTGTGTGTGTGTTACCTGTTGGAGAAGACTTTACTGCAGTTGTACACACTGACGGTCAAAACCTCCTCTCTGGTTACTTTGCCGTAGTAAGGCCAACGGAAATGCTGTAAAATAACATACAATTTGATCTGCAATTAAAAGTCTCTGTTTTATATTTTCCTGAGCTTTCAGTCACATCTCATAGACTTCCTCCACCAATAGAGATGACTCAGGTGTGATTACATGAACTCAGTGTGGTCACATGATCACAGATGGTTTTATATTGGGAGAGACGGTAACCCAGTCTCAGTTCTAAGATGGTCTCTGGTGTCAGATGTGGATGGTAAATAGAGTTGCACTCATATAGCTCCTCTCTAGTCTTTTGACCACTCAAAGCGCTTTTTACACTACAAGTCACACTCACCCATTCACGCACCCAAACTCCAACTAGAAGAAGGAGGAAGAGACTATTTCTGTGTTAACACTATATATTTACCACTACAACAATTATTCACCGTGTGCTAGCTTTAGGCACACACAGTCACACACACACATGCACCTGGTCACACCTGAAGAGCAAACACCAGCCTGACTCAGAAGCAGAGAAACATAACACACTCAGAGCTCGCTGCTGCGCTCATGTCATTCAGAGGTGACTGTAATTACACTATCTGACCTGTCAGCAGTGATTAAGTCAACAAACAAGTGGTGGTGTAGTGACGTGGGTGGAGGCTTCGCTTCAACAAATACGTTCTTCCTCTGTAAAATCACAATGAAGTTTGTTTTGAGGAGAACCTCAGAACCACAGAGTCTCCAGGAGATTTCTTTCAGTTTGGTCTGTATGACTCACAACACTACAATACCCATGAGCCTCAGCATTCCTCCATTCAGAGATATTAAATCAAACATTTATCCAACTTCTTCTGCAGAACTCAGCCTGTAATTTCACCACACCACATTGAGCTGAAGTGAAACCAGAACTTCCTGGTTCTGTTTCAGAAATAAGAGAACATCTTTCAAAATCACGATCAGAACGTTCACATGACAATAGCGAAAATGGATTAATTGTGTTCACCTGACTAAAACCAGACTTTCAAAATACAGTACATGTAAACATTATGGTCTGACTGAAATTGAACTACAGTCAGGTCCATAATTATTTGGACAATGATACAGTTGTCTTCATTTTGGCTCTGTACACCACCACAATGGGTTTTAAATGAAACAATGAATACCTGCTTAAAGTGCAGACTCTCAGCTTTCATTTAAGACTTTTTTCAAAAATGTAGTATGAACCGTGTAGGAATGACAACCATTTCTTCACACAGTCCCCCGACTTTAAGGGCTCATAAGTATTTGGACAAACTAACATAATCATCAATTAAACAGTCAGTTTTAATACTTGGTTGCAAATCCTTTACAGTCAATGACTGCCTGAAGTGTTGGACACATAGGCATCATCAGATGCTGGGTTTCTTCCCTGGTGATGCTCTGCCAGCCCTTTACTGCAGCCGTCTGCACTTCCTGCTTGTGTTTTGGGTGTTTTGCCCTCAGTTTTGGCTTCAGCAAGAGAAACGCATGCTCAGTTGGATTCAGGTCAGATGATATGACTTGGCCATTGCAGAACATTCCACTTCTTTGCCTTAAAAATGTCTTTGGTTGCTTTTGCAGTATGCTTCAGGTCAATGTCCATCTGCACTGTGAAGCATCGTCCAATGAGTTTTGAAGCATTTGGTTGAATCTGAGCAGATAATGGTGCCCCAAACACTTCAGCTTTCATCCTGCTGCTCTTGTCAGCAGTCACATCATCAATAAATACAAGAGAACCAGTTCCACTGGCAGCCATACATGGCCATGACATAACAGTACCTCCACCATGCTTCACTGATGAGGTGGTGTGCTTTGGATCATGAGCAGTTCCTTCCCTTCTTCCTTCTCTTGTCTTCCCATCATTCTGGTAGTTGATCTTTGTTTTATCTGTCCATAGTATGCTGTTCCACAACTGTACAGGCTTTTTAGATGGTTTTTGACAAACTCTAATCTGGCCTTCCATTTTTAAGGCTAACCAATGGTTTGCATCTTGTGATAAACCCTCTGTATTTATTCTAGTGAAGTCTTGTCTTGCTTACAAGAGCAGCAGGATGAAAGCTGAAGTGTTTGGGGCACCATTATCTGCTCAGATTCAACCAAATGCTTCAAAACTCATTGGACGATGCTTCACAGTGCAGATGGACATTGACCTGAAGCATACTGCAAAAGCAACCAAAGACATTTTTAAGGCAAAGAAGTGGAATGTTCTGCAATGGCCAAGTCATATCATCTGACCTGAATCCAACTGAGCATGCGTTTCTCTTGCTGAAGCCAAAACTGAGGGCAAAACACCCAAAACACAAGCAGGAAGTGCAGACGGCTGCAGTAAAGGGCTGGCAGAGCATCACCAGGGAAGAAACCCAGCATCTGATGATGCCTATGTGTCCAACACTTCAGGCAGTCATTGACTGTAAAGGATTTGCAACCAAGTATTAAAACTGACTGTTTAATTGATGATTATGTTAGTTTGTCTAAATACTTATGAGCCCTTAAAGTCGGGGGACTGTGTGAAGAAATGGTTGTCATTCCTACACGGTTCATACTACATTTTTGAAAAAAGTCTTAAATGAAAGCTGAGAGTCTGCACTTTAAGCAGGTATTCATTGTTTCATTTAAAACCCATTGTGGTGGTGTACAGAGCCAAAATGATGACAACTGTATCATTGTCCAAATAATTATGGACCTGACTGTAAATCGAAATTCTCAAAGTCGGACTAACACACCCAGATAATGCAATTGGGAGTCGAATTCCTATACAGTCATTCATTAACTAATTCATTTCCCATAACCGCTTCTCCTGTTAGGGGTTGCAGGGGGGCTGGAGCCTATCCCAGCACTGGGCAAGAGGTGGAATACACTCAGGGCTGACACATAGAGACACACAACCATTCACACTCACATTCACACCTACGGACAATTTAGAGTCACCAATTAACCTGTATGTTGGACTGTGGGAGGAAGCTGGAGTACCCATGCTGATACGGAGAGAACATGCAAACTCTGAAGAAGGGCTCCCCCACCCTGGGTTCGAACCAGGAACCCTCTTGCTGTGAGGCGACAATTGGACCCAAATTGGCCGAGATGCTCTGCGAATGCTCCACGGTTTCTGCCCTGGGCATTGACCCAGAAGTTGAATAGCATTAAATGCATGACAGAGGAAGAGGCCGGTAACAACATGGTGAAATCTACATCCAGCATGCATCTCGTCTGTACAAAAAGTAAAGCATACAGCAAGTTTGAAATGTACGGAGCTGTCAAGTTATCCACCATGGTACCAGTTTGCTGCTAGCTAACTGTAGCTAACCTGTTTGTTGACTGTTTGGTCTGTGACATAATAGTTCAACCAGAAAAAGGTCCAGTACTAACAAGCTGAAAGGGGGCATATCTCCACCTATCGTAGCAAAGCTTTTAAGGAGGTGTTTGTTTTTTATTCCTCAAGGTCTCACTGGTATGGTATAGTGCAGTAGAATAACAACCCAGTCTAATAAATGTTGGCATTGTACGTTTTTGCAAACCACTGATGTGTTGACTTGACATTTCTTTATGTTTCAATGGTGCTCTGGTAAAAGTTTGGTTATGTTTAGGCATAAAAAACACTTTGTTATGGTTATGGTTCGGAAAAGGTCATGTTTGGGCTCATGTTTTGGTGCCACAATCATGGCTGGAAGCCGATGCCGATGTCTCACTAAAAAACAACCAGTTTTGTTGTTGGTCTCAAACAGTGGTCTGCACCTTGGCAGCCGTCTCACCTAGGTGTCACGTCATCCATCATCCCCTCCACCTTCTGACAAACTAAACTCACACACATGAAATCTGAACTACGTCACTTCATATGAAACGTACAAATGTAACGTATCTGTGGTAGGGAGAAATGTACAACGCCAATGTTTTCTTCTGGCTCCTGGGCTTAATATAAAAAAAGGAATCTCTTCTGTAGGCGTGGGTGTGTGTGTTGAAGGAGCGGCTGTGTGTGTGTGAGTGTACAGTAGGAGTGGTACAGCGTCCTATCAGCCCCATTAAAATAGTTTCAATCTGAAGCAGACAAATAACTGCGGCTTCCTGCTGCTGTAACACACACACACACACACACACACACACACACACACGTAATGAAGGTCATGTGATTCTCAGTGTCTCAGCTTTTCCATGAACTGGTTATAATGATGACATCATCTCTCAGCGTTCTGATTGGCTCTGAACGTGTGACATCGGTTCACTGACCTCGTTGAAGATGGCCAAGTTCTCACACTGCAGGATTCTGGTTTTGTGGGTGAAACCTGGAGGACAGACAAACAGACAGGTAACCATGGCAACAGCACTGATGCTTCAGGCTCCGTTAGCTCGTTCACTGGCTGGTAAAACTGACCCATGAAGTTGTTATTGATGCCATTTCAGATTAAGCATGAATATTATTTTTATTGTACAGAGTTTATGTGCAGAATCTCAGCAGATTGTGTCGCTTAACATCAAAAATCTATTCTTTTTGGTGTAACCGCAGTAACGACTGCTCTTCCTGGGATCAACACAAGATGTGAAAACAAGACAAAATATTAAATTATGACAGTGTAGATGGTTTACAACATTGACAAATTTAAATAAAACCCAAATAAGAGACAGCAGGAGTTTTCTCACATTTACAATGTCATCACATCAGAAGATCATAAAAGTAAACCACCAGAGCCCAAAACCCAGGCTCATAGGATTTTATGTGACTGCACAAGACATGGTTGTACACTGAGACATCACCCAAGTACTGTGTGTTCAACAGAGATAAAATGTATTTAAAGAGTTATACGTGACGCATGTTTATGTTCATTTATATTTCACAAACTTAATTTAAATTGACCAGATGTGACGACACTGAGGTTGAGCTTGTTTGTTTTATATGTGAGGTTGTTGTTGTTGTTGTTGTTAGGTCAGTTAATGCAGGAAGTGTTTAATCTAAATTCAACATTATATCCTTTAATTTATTATTTCATGAAGATATGTTCCTTCCTTTATATATTTTTTTCAGACAGAAAACTTTCCAAATACCTTTATGTCTCTTTTAAGTATAATAAACCTGTGTGCTTCCTGATAACTCAAGTTAATTACTTTCATAATTATAGTACTCTTTTTTTCAACAACCATCTGAATGTAACTATGATAATTTATCTTTATTCTCTCTATTTGCTCATTATGTGAACATCATGTCTGTTAACTCAGCCTGAGCTCTGATAAACCTCCCCATGTCCCCAGTCTTTAAGGAAAGGCTCACTTTTTTTCCTAGTCTGTCTTAAAACATTAGTTTGGATCAAGTTTCACTTGTGAAACTTGATCCAAACTAATGTTTTAACTAACTAACTAACTCACTAACTTCTTGTGATTATTCCCCTTGTTCTGAAAATCAACACACCCTTCCCTAACATGCTGTCAGTGAAGTGAAGGGAATCCAATAGAAATAATAAGAATAACTTTAATTATATTGCACAAGTTATGCATAAAATGTGACACAAAGTGCTGAACATAAAAGACAAAACATTTGTGAAAGAGACAAGAAGATAGAAGATAAAAACATATGATAAAAGATAAAGTAAAATTCAGTTAAAACTACAGATGAGATAAAACAGCCTCTGTGTGTTTCCTTGCAGAGCTGCAGTGGGACACCAACACGCCTCCTTTTCATTCATAACATTCACTCAAACAACAGCAGTAAACACAAACAACATCACATGACTCTGTGTTGTTGTGTCACCAAACAACTGTTTGTCAGCTGTTGTTCAAACAGGTAAAGCACATGTCCATTCACGCAGGTTTGGGGAGCCTACTTTAGGGAACTCTCTAGAAACTTCTCTATGTTATACGACTTTACACAGGATTTTTGGATAGCTTTAAATTTTAAGGTCCCACGGTGACCAGCAACAGCATTAAAATGTGACTCACTCACTACTGTATATAATAAGATAACAATCTGAGAGAAGACATTCTACATAAAGAATACTTTTACTTTTTATAGTTAAAGGACACTTTACTGCTAATACGTAGGACTTTTACCCTTAAAATTGAGAAGTTAAAGGTCCAGTGTAGGATTTAGAGGCCTCTGCTGGCAGAGCTGGTACATAAAATTCATAACTATGTTTTCATCAGTGTATAATCACCTGAAAATAAGAATGTGATTTGATTTAATTGGAATATGCTGTTTATGGGGCGACCTCTCGCTCAGCGACTAGCGCGTCTGCCCCACATAGGGTCAGTGCCTTGCAGGGGCCCGGGTTCTAACCAGAGGTCCTTTGCTACGTGTCATCCCCATTCTCTTTCCCCCTTTCCTCCTACTCTCTAGCTGCACTGTGATAACAAAAAGGCCAAAAAAGAATGAGCCATTTATATCATGTTTTCACTTCGACTGCTGAAGTTCACCTACATATTAAGCACACAGTAGAAGTTTCAGTTGGTTGCTATCTGCAACCTCAGCCTCTAGATGGCATTAAATCCTACACAATGGACCAGTTCTTGGCAACTTTAACTATCAAAAGAACTGTTTTTGACTAAAATAATGAAAAGAAATCCGTCTGAGGCCGCGAAACACAATTTGGGTATCAACATAACTAACGGGTCTAAATGAGCATTCATTAAAACATTTTACGAAAGGTGGCTCCTCTGCAGTGTTTTTTTTTTTTTTTTGGATTATTTAGAATTTTAACTTTGCAGAAATGGCGGAGAAAGCAAATCAATCTGTCCGCACACTTTTAAATTCTTAGATTTGTGATCCAAAGCAAGTCTAGCTACGGAGACGCAAGAGGTTTGACAGATGCACGTTAATTGATGAAATGTCTTCACATTAGGTGCATAATTCATTTAGACCTACAACAATGATAAATGAAATTTTAAATGTAAAAAAAGAAAAGAGTTGTTTTTCATGTCTGTATGATTTTTTGTTTGTCAAAGCCACAAGGAGCCCCTGAAGAGGAGCCGCAGGTGTCCTACCCCTGCTCAGGACCATTAACAGTGTGGTATTTCTTCTTTAAAGGATCATCCGCTGCAGGTCAGATGTGGAAGTACTCATACCTTGTACTTCAGTAAAAATAGTAAAGTTGGAAGTAATTTTGATAACTTTATGAACTGAAACAAATGAAACAATAACGTTTCATTTGCTGATTGTATTTTGTAATAAAAATCTAAGACTGCAAAGTGACTAAAGTCAAAAAATGTGGTGGAGTCGAAGAATAAACTAGCCTAAAATTAATAAACGTACTAGCACCTTGAAACTGTACTTACAGTACTTGAGTAAATGTACTTAGTTACTTTTCAAAGCGGACAAACCAGGAAAACAATCCTGAGAGCAAAAGTACACAAAAGAAACAGTAGTTGAAGTACGCCTGGTCCCAGAGTGTTCCAGATAGAGACATGTGAGAGTGTGTCACTGACCTCTGAAGCAGAGTTCGACCTTTCTGTCAGATCGTCCCGGCAGGTTGATGATCTTCTTCAGAGTCACAGTGATGGACATGATGATCCTGATACCTGTTCACCTGTCTGCTCTTCTACATCCTGTCTCTCTGAAGTCGTCTCATCTGCTCTCTTCTGTCTTCACTCTTCAACAGATGGAAACTAACTGCTTTGTGTTTTCTTCTAACAGTATGATGGGAGGTACCTGAGTGAGTGTGTGTGTGTGTCTGTTAGGGCAGGTCCTCTCCAATGTTTGAGAAAGCAAATACAGTTGCTCAACTAGTTTCCTCCTTAGAGTGCACACACACACACACACACACACACACACACACACACACACACACACAGAGTGGACGCAGAATAATAATGTTCAAATTTTGAATTCTAAGTTAAAAATTCTGAATTGAAAACCAAAGGCAGCAAATTTAAAGTACTGAATTTAAGTTCCTCATTTCTTGATGAAGTCTGGTGTTTGTGTTTCACTTGTGTTTCTCTGATGTTTGGAAAAAAACACTGAACTATATGTGAAGAAGAAAACATGAAACAGAAAGTACAACAAACAGTTAAAACAACTTTATTCAGTAAATTCAAAAGTCATGAGTCTGATTTTTCTCCATATCTCTGATGTTTAAGTGTTATTTACTGGAGAAGGTCATCTTGAATCAGCCCCAGGTGTCACTGAAAAAACTGAGTTAAATCTGTCAGCCATGTCTAGAACAAAGTTGGGGAGGTGGTTAATAGGTGATAAGAAGCCAAAGGGTCTTGTGTGGAAGACGTGTTCTGATCATATCCCAGCTGTCATTGGGTGAGAGGCAGGGTACACCCTGGACAGGTCACCAGACACTCATCACAGGGCTGACACATAGAGACAGACAACCATTCACACCTACGGACAATTTAGAGTCACCAGTTAACCTGCATGTCTTTGGACTGTGGGAGGAAGCTGGAGTACCTGGAGGAAACCCACGCTGACACAGGGAGAACATGCAAACTCCGCACAGAAGGGCTCCCCCACTCTGGGTTTGAACCAGCAACCTTCTTACTGTGAGTTGACAATGCTAACCTTACTGATATACAAGTACAGTATTCTCAGCACAGTGTACTTAAGGTATCAAAGTAAAAGTACTTGTTTAATCCGCAACTGATTATTATCACGACATTAGCAGATTTTTAACACTGACACATCAGTTTTTAAGTAACATTGTACTGGTGTATCTGCTCGTGGTGGAGCTGTGCAGGTAGGCATTTAAGTCCAGTGGGTCCCAACCTCAGGGTCAGGACCCTCTAAAGGGTCACAGGATAAATCTGAGGGGTCATGAGATGATTAATGGAAAAGGAAAGAAGAAAAAACAAAGTCCCACTCCACAAATTTATATTCATCTTTTAGACATTGCTTTGTGAAATACCAGATGATTTTGCATCTTTGGGCCTCAGTTAGACTATTCAAATGAATCTGAATCTAAAAAGCAAAATATGACTTTAATATATATGATATATATGATCATGTAAAATCTTAACCTGTGAAGTAAGATATCGAATAAATGTAGTGGAGTAAAAAGCACGTGGTTTCTCTCAGAACGGTGTAAGTTTGAGTAACATAAAATGTAAATACTCTGAGTTAGTGGCTCCCAACTGGTGGGTCGCAGGTCCACTCTGAATGGACCACAAGTGACTCGCAAATATGTCAAGTTTGTAAAAACCACAATTATTTTCAAGCACAGTGAATTTCTGACATGGATATTTTATTTTTATTTCCCTGTTGTAGAGTGAGTGCCTAATGGACAGCTACTTGACAGAGACACCAAACTAGCTTGATGTATTTAACTGTGTGGACCTTGATCTAATGACCAATGAGAAATCTGGACCCAGTGGCTGGACCAGTTGGGAACCACTGTTTTCAGCATCTCAAAATTGTACTCAATTACAGTGCTTGAGAAATACCGGCCTACTTAATTACTTTCTACCACTGCTGTAGTAACATTTAAGAAGGTACTCAGACAAACAACACATAGGTTACATGACAAAATAAACTGAGGATGAAGACTAACTGATGAATTAGTCCATCCCTTCTGTCTGTAATAATAACTTTGTACTCACCAAGTTAACAGCTGAGATCCGGGCACACGGTGGCATCGATAAAAATAAGTGCAACAGGTCAGGAAACATGAGCAGTCAGACGATCACAAAGGATCAAAACTGTAAAAATAAATGCTGGAATAAAGCAGAATGATCCTTTAAACAGCAGCAACTCTCACAGAAACAATAAAGAAACTTGTTTTCTTTTCCAGAGTTTGTTTTATTATTGAATTCTAGTGGGCAGTGTTCATACAGGTATGATGTTACTGGTTATACTGGTTAGTTAAAAGCAGTTAGTTGAGTAAGTGAGCAGTGGAGCTGGTGGTCACATGATGCTGTGGTTCGACCAGTGAAAACTAACATGTGACAGAGTGAAGATCACAGTGAGCAGCACTGCAGAGCATTTTCAAACTACAGATTTTCAGACCTGTGATGGTTTTAATGTTGGCAGAAAGAAAGTATTTATCTTACTGTAGAACTCCAGCACCATGTCACCATGCAGCCAGGGTTACAGTGACAATACAGCGTGTTCATCTGAACTCAGATCAGATTTCTGTAATGATTTACTTTTAATAATTGTCACTTTATTTTATTAACAGTCTGTTTGAAATTAAAACTGCAGGTTTCTTACGTTTCTACCATTAGAAACTCCTTTGTGTGAAAAACAAATTTCCCTTCAACTAGAACATGTAAAACAAAGTTTCTGGCAACAAAGAAGACGGGACAACATGGCAGCCTGATAACTCCACAGAATCTTCTGCAGTTTGGCAACAAAACAAGATGATAAAAAACTTGAACTCATGGTCCATTTAATTAGATATTTTCCGGAGCTTTCAAGTGCATCTCGTGCTTTCTTCTCTACTAACTACTGTTTCCATGGTCAATATGAATGTTCACGCTCAACTGGAATATGGTAGTGAAAGGAAGCTGCTTTCATGGAAGATGAATTTTGGATGAATCAAGACTCAGAAATGAGTTGGTGTCTCTCTCTAAAAGAAAACAAAAACCTTAGAAACCCTCATACTTTCTTCTGAGTAGAAGGCCCTCTAAGGTTGATCAAGTGATAGTTTCTGTTGCTTTCTTAACAGAAAATTGGAACAAATTTGATCCCAAAACAAGCAAAAACTCGGTCTGCAGCAGCACACACTGTCAGCACCTCAGAGGCAAACGGAGGAGAAACTGCTGGAAACATAAAACACTGCTTTGACTAAGAATACTCTGATATGACATCGGCACTGATAAAATAATCTTCACTCACTTCCTTTACATATGAGCTCTTTCCAGAGCTTCCAGCTGTTATTAATTTGCTCCCAAACATGAAGAATTAATCTCTTTGTTGAAGTTAAAACAAACAGTGCTACAAATAATAAGCGGTACAAATATTTCACTTTAATAAAATGGACCCTGAAAATATATTCCATCAACATGCACAGCAATAGTGGTGATTCAGATGAATTCCAGGCGATTTAAAGTGGCTGCAGATGATGCGTTGGCAATGACTCTTATTAATAAATGTAACATTAACTGTAGCTTTGATGCAGTAAACAAGAGTTTTGACACATCTGTGAATGTAAGTGTGTGTGTTCAGGTCATTCCAGTAATTAAAGGACAGTCTTTGGTAAAGAAATGGCAGGGCAGATGTTCAGACAGACTCTCAGTGTGATGTTCAGGTCATGTAGGATGGAAGGTTATTATGGTTATGACTTCCAAATGCTCACATCACTGGACAACCAAGACAACCACCAGTGTTCTTAATGAGTATAAAGTGAGTTCAGACTGAATGTGAAACTAATTTAAAAAAAACTAGCTAGCTACTCACTTCCTGTTATTTCCCTCATGTCTCTGTACGTCTATCAAGCATGTCACACCTGTTTACATGTATTCAATCAGTCTGAACACACCTTAATGAACAGTAATCTGATGTCTGTCAGGCAGAGGTCAAAGTGTTCAGCATTAAATCAGAATTTAGTGACACTTAATCAACTTGAGGGTGCCGTGCTTCTTTAGTTTTTATGTTATCTACCTAGAGCTGGAAAAAAGTGTCACTTGGACGCTGACGGCGTTAACTTCCACATGACCTGAACGCAGCATCACAACGCCATGACAGTCTGCAGTGATGTCACCGTGCTGCGGAGGCGGCCATGTTGGCTCCCAGTAAACATTCAGGTCTGGAGACTGGAGAGAGATTTTGTCAGGTTAATTCATTAAGGCACTTTGAGATATATTGCACTCTGTAGACTTTACTCGACTCCACTAAATAGTTCTTAATTGTTGTCATTCTTTTACATTTTTATTTTGTAATTCACTGCGTGTTTTGCAGGGAGATCAGCTGGTGCCTGAAGCTCAGGTTATGAGAGATGCTTTCCACATCTGCAGGACACAAGGGTCTGCATGATGTCTTAAGTTTGTCATCTGTATGTCAAACACTTGACCGCTAAACGTGTCAATGCCCTCGTCTGTATATGTGACCACTGAATGTAGACGAGATGTGTTCAGACAGATACTTCAGGGTGTTTAACTGCAGTCATGCACTTGTTTGATTCAGGATGGTCGATTAACTGATGTGCTGACTGACCTGTGTGTAATACTGACAGGTGATCAAGTTTTGAGTTACAAGGGTCAGACCATTTTAGGAAACAGGTAGAAAGGATGACTGCTCTGGGAGCCAAGATGACTGCATCAACAAACCACCGAGAGTTGTGACAGAACAGTCTGGAAACATTCAGGCTGAAGCAGCGTGCTGAGGTCACACAGGCTACACTAACATCTACAGTAAGGCTGACTATAGGTTAATAGTAAAGCTATAATAAAGATTAAAGTAAGGCTGTAGTGGTAAAGCTATGATAGAGTATATATTATCATTCATGATACAATATTCCAGCATTTAGTGCATGAGCAAAGTGCGAAGTATTGATCCCTGATCAATAAAGCTAATCAGAGCCACACACACACATACAGAGCCGACGATACAAGAGACGGAGTGTGGAGCCAAAAAATGGCTGACACTTTCTGTGTGTGTGTGTGTGTGTGTGGCTCTTTGATTGTTAAACATGTTAGTAAACATGTGATC